TTCCCCCCCCCCCCCCCACTCAAAAAGATGTGCCAAATTTAATTGAGTATACTTTTCTAATAAAGTGAAAAATGTGAAAATTAAAATTTGTAATGAGAGACATTACCTGTGTATGTCTTGAAATACATGATGTTATTATAGGACAATTTACCTAAATATGACTAAAACATAATGACTTTCTCAAAATAAAACCATATATTTTTATTTTTTAATGTAGAACCATTGGTCATTATTTATTAGTCATTATTCAACTAAATGTCCAGCATCACTTGGACATTATTCTTCTCACTGGTCATTATTAAATCCTATTTAAAGAATAAAAAAAGTTTAAGTTCTACATTGGGAAATGACTTATGTTTTAGTCCTATTCAGTACAAATTTTACATTATTAAAATAGATCCACTCGTCTTTTTAACACTAACCAAAATGAAATTAAAAGCAAACACATAAGTGATCGAATGACGTAACTCAGGTGGTCGAGAAATGGGTGTCAAATCATAGGGGGTAAGTTTGGGTTCGACTCGCTGACACCAATGATAAAAAATGACCATTTCGAACTAGTACTAAGAAAAAAAGGATGAGCATCATCCCCGAGGGTTCCCTCAGACCCGGTTGGACGATCAGCAAGAAAAGATAAATTAGAATATGATAGCACACAGGTGACAAAGAGTGGAGCATGCACCTGGTATTTGCAGAGGCCATATGCTTAACATAGTTGCTTCTCGGCGCATTTGCCATGAATCAGACTCGAGTCTACTCTCTTGACATTCCTTGCTTTTGTCAACTGCGCAACTCCAACCGGCGGGCTAGTACTAAGAAACTTGGGGTTCAATTTTTCTTTTAAAGAGACACAAAGTTTTGGGGAGATGAGAGTACAACTTTATTTATCACCCTTTCCACCACTTTCATCGTCATCATCATCATCTTTACTCTTTAGCTAGGAACCTTAATTACATTAAAAATAGATTTTCAACGCCGTAAGTAAACAGGTTAATTGGTTCATTGCAGTCTTAGCTTTATATAAGGTCTCTCTCTCTCTCTCTCTGTGTGTGTGTGTAATATAAGAGAATGGCTGCAATGGCTTCACAGTTTCTCTTCTTCATCATCTTCTTCTGGTGTCTACTCCTTTCTTGTTCTTCTTCTGGTAAGCATCTGCAATTTACTTTACTGGTAGCCTAGTATGTGCTGTTTTCTTTGATGTGGCATTTTTCTATGGTTCTGGAATTGTTTTACAAGAATATGATATTATTGATATGCATGCACTATATGGAGTGTGAGTAATGATGATCATCAAAGAATATATATGGTCTATGCCATTTTTTCTTTTTGAAGAGATTTAAAATCCCAAAAAGTATGAAGAAAAAAAAACACCATTTAAGTTTGTAGGTTCACCTAATTTTACACAAGTTTTTTTATCTAGTTTTTACTTTTTACTGGACTTGGATTCACCCAAATTCACCTGTTCAACTTTGGTCCTAATAAGTGATAGACTAGAGCTAGTGCCTAGGAGAGAGTTCAAACACCTAATTTTTTACAGTTTTTGAAAGACTTTTGTAAGATAAATATATGGAGTAATAAAATGATTTTCGTACTAATATGCAGTACAACTTTTATGCATTTGATTATCAATAATTTGAACCGAAAAAATGAAATTAGACGAATATTTTGAGATAAAGTTGGAATCATAAAAAACGAAAGAAAAAAAAAATCAAACTCAATTCAATGTATCACAAAAAAAATGAATTGAGAATATGTGTACAGTTTAGATCTCTGAATTATTTCATAGGATAGGGTTTAGGGTTTCTTTCCAATTTTGTAATTTCTTCAATTCTCTGATAAAATTGAAACAAAACAAAGATCAAATTTTTAACTGGGGACTCAGAGAGAAGTAATCGTATTGTTTCTGTGAAGGGGAAGCAGATCCGTTAATCCCTGCCGTTGTCACTGTTCCGGCGGCCACCACCACCACACCGTTTCCGTTTCAGAACCCTAACAATGCAGGTCCGATCACAAATCCGGTCACAACGCCGCCTGCCAGTACTAATCCTCCTCTGTCACCCGCCGTCTTCGCTCCGCCGGCGGCAACCAATCCGCCGGGCGGCCAGACCTGGTGCGTGGCTAAACCCGGATTATCCGATTCTAGTCTGCAGCCGGCGCTGGATTACGCTTGCGGACAAGTGGATTGCAAAGAGATTCAGCAGAACGGGAGGTGTTTCAACCCGAGCACTGTGCAGAGCCACGCCTCGTTCGCCTTTAACGCCTATTATCATAAGAACCCGTCGCCTGCTAGCTGCGATTTCGGGGGGACTGCCGTGATCACCTACGTAAATCCGAGTAAGCCAAATCTCCATTCAATCTTCTTGGTGTCATGAAATTTAGGTGAACTCAAGAACAAAAATGCTAGAATAACACCAACACTATCATGCCATTTTTTAGAATAGACTGTAACGGGAATATTAGGGGTAAACCAATAATTGTACACCATTTGTACACAAAGACAAACACAGACATAATATTTGTGGCAGAACAGACATAAAATGTTTGTGTTTACTGTACCTCTGGTGTACTAATGGTATACAATTGTTGAGGTACCCCAATAATTTTCCTGACTGTAATTGTGAGTGAAAAATGATCAAAAAAAATTAATGTTGCGTACCCCATATTGGTATATTTTATGACAAGAACTATCAGGTACCTTAAAATATCTGAAAAGTTACTCTGGAGGGACTTTTCGTCTCTCCTTTCGTCAAACCCATGATGATGATGATGATGATGATGAGAATGATAATACTCTGTAATAATACTTCGTAATAATACTAATAGAAAAAAAGGGAGAGGTGAGGGCCGAATTGGATGGGAAGGCGAAGAAGGAGAAGAAGAAGAAGAAAAAAGGGGGAGGAGGAAGAAAAAGGAGGGGAGAGGTGGGGGGCTGAATTGGAGTGGAAAGAAGAAGGAAGAAGAAAAACATGGAAGAGGGGAACAATATTTTAAAGTATCTCAAAGTATATTTTGAAAACTGCGAGTACCTGGCAGTTCTTATAACAAATTATGGGATATCTAGCAGCAATTTTTTGAAAAAATGATTGTCTGTGTGTGTCTGGTACAACACTATCGTGTCAAAATGTGGTGTTTCCTTAACCTTTTTCTTTTATTTAACTGAAGATCAAAGTTCCTCCAATAGTCAGGCTGAAAAACGCATTGAGACGAATGTAGTAATAAGGAGCGGGAGTTTTCAACTTCACTAAAACTCATAAATCACCAACAAAAATAAAAAAGTGTGCTGCTCACTAACTGTTGCGAAAATTTTCAGGCTCTGACAGTTGTGTGTACCCAACAACATCAGGATCAACTTCATCTCCATCACCAGTCCCTCAAATGCCACCACCACCTACAACTTCATCAGTTCCAGTTCCAGTTCCAACACCAACAACAGCAGTTCCAACTCCTATTATGTCTCCAACTACCACAACATCTTCACCTCTTCCAGGAGGAGTGCCCAGGTAAGTTCGTAGCTACTTTGTCCGTCCCTCCGGTTTTAGTTGTCCATTGTTTTCTTCTCTATGCTTCGAATTTAAAGAAAGGGTGAATTGACGAAGAAAAACTTGTGACTGGCTTGTCCTCCATTGTTGGCAACACGAGGTGTGCGGACAGTTATTCCAGACAACCCCAAAAGGGAAAGGTGGACAACTAAATCCGCATAGAGACAATGGTTTTTGGTAACAAACTATTTGGACATCATCATAGTTACATCAACTTTGTTTTTGCACTTCACATGCAAGATTTGTCTGTGTTGTGTGTGACACAGACAAATCTCGCATGTAAAAATGGAGTTGGTGAAACTTCGGTGTGGACCAAACATAACCCTAATTTTTCTTAATAACAAAATTCTTTTGCAGCACGGGGACGTTCCCGCCCGTGTTTCCAAACATGACCAATCCTACTATTCCCATCATCACTCCTACCGGGCAAATTCCTGGCATTTCTCCAGCCAGTACTTCCACATCTACCCTTCTGCAACCCGTCCTTGGTCCCGTCTTTCTGATGGTCTCATCCATCTGTTTTGGGACACTTGTTTTGAAAATCTGAGAGTGGGAAATCCTGTCTGACCCAATGTTACAAAATTGGGTTTTGGCTCTCTTGTCCTATGTACAGTACCTTTGGAGGAGAAATACAACCTTAGATTGAGGTTTCCAGCACTCTTTGATCTTTCACATTGTTTGTAGGGATTATGTTATGACTTGTGACTGTTGCAGATTGGAGACTTTAGTTTATCAGTGGATTTATTATGTCTTAAAAGTTGTGAGTTATGTAAATCAAATTCTTATTACACTTCTCTTATCTCTTTTCTTGATTTGGAAACATATAGTAGTAGTAAACCTTTAGAAATGATATACTACCTTATATGGTGTAGTACTTGTTTTCTTTCTTTCTAGTTTTTCCAGAATACTCTCTTTTCTTTTGTTCTTTGATGTTTGATTCTCATTCGCTAGTTTCAATTTCCACTAGTTAAGTTTGACGAAGCTGTTGTATTCTTGAAATATGATGGTGCTTAGATTTGGAAAATTCTCTAAATATATATTGGCAAAAAATAAAGGGAATTTTAAAGGCAAGGTTTTGAATTGCCATTTTTGAATGGAAGCAAAGTGGCATAGGGCATTATGGGGTATTATGAAGAAGAGGCGAAATTTGGTTTTTTATTACCACTTATTAGCTATAATTGGGAATTAAAAACCGTCAAACCAAAAAACCGATGAGTTTTGGCAAATGGCGACCAACACATTTCATATACAAAACACGAGATTACCGACAACCGGTTGAAATTTGAAATTTCAACCAGCTTGATCAGTTTTCTAGGTTATCTGAACTGGTTTGTCAGATTTTTTTTCCCAGCTTGGATCAAATTTTCAGTTTTGTTCAGATTCCTCAATCCCAATCCCTAGTGTAACTTGATAAGTTCCTACCAAAGGCTCTGTTGGTCCTACTCTTGAAGATGATGCACCCACAAATGAACATCAGTAGGGCAGCCCTTCTTTTCAAGTACAGCTTGAAAATGTTTTCATCATTTCTAATAATAATAACAATAATAATAATAATACTGCAATTAATATGAATTACTCACAAATAATTGTGGTTGTAGGACAGTTCCATCACCTCTCATCATTGTAAGAATACCCATCTAACCATTCTGGCCTAAGCACTAAACTGCCCTAACGATCTGCGATTTCTACGACACTATACCCTAAACATGCCATGAAGAGTTCCTTCTCTAGCTACCGGCTGCGTTTGTAGTTTGTACAAACTCCATTTACATGCCAAGAGCAGAAAGCCAAGCAGCTATCTCTTTGAGAAGAGCACCAGAACCAGCATTGACATGGAGACCACAATCTTGAACCCGGATTTCTCCCAAAAGTTCTGGTTCTCGTTGCTTGAAGACCCGCCACAACCTTGTTTACTAGCCAGCTGGTCTCTGATTTCCTTAAGAGCTTCATCTTGTTTTTCTCCCATCTGCAACCAAAAAAAATTTCTTCTTGATTGAGGTTATACTAAAAGAATGAAATAATGTGAAATGTCCACTAAGAAACAAACTGGTGTCTGACTTAGGATTAACTGAGGATAAGCACTTCATCTTCATCTACCGCGCTGAAATTTTCCGACTTGAAATGCAATTTGCACTACAAATTGCGCTCTAAGTTGGATACTTCCAGTGAGACAGAGGAAGTAGAATTTAGTAAGAGCTAGGGAAGAAAATATAACAACCAATTTTGAAGTCCATGTTCTGGTTTTTCAGTGTTAAGAGTTACCGCAATCAAATTGCTTGGAAGCCTAAAAGTAATTAACAAATGAAAAAGCATGTATGGATTACCATGCGGAGCTTAGCACGAGCCTCTTGGACACAAAATTCCAACTTAATGACCCTCTTCTTTAACTGTTGATCTGCGCGTTGACGCTTTTCTAACTATTTCACGAACAAAAAAACCCTCATTAACAGCCATGGATTAAACTTATCAGGGACAAAAAAAGGGGAAGAAACGGGATGTGGGTACGAAACCTGGGATTCCAACTCCTTGGTCTTTAGCTCCCAATGAGCAGACATTGTCTTTATGTCATCTCTCATCCTGGCAATCTCTTGATCTTTAAGACTTAAGAACTCAGTGATCTTCTTAAGCTTCTTTGGCGAAACGTCGTCGAGTTCTTTGGCCAAAGCGTGCCTGATATCGTTTTCGATGCTCAAGACTTGATGTTTCAGCTGCATTTGGGAAGACTCCCTTGCCTGAAGATCCTTGTGCAAGAGGTCCAACTGCTCCCAGAGTCTACTCACGCGCTCTTCGTGTTCCTTCAATGATTTGCTTTTCTCATTCAACTCCTTTATGAGTGCCAGACACTGGAGTTGCACAGCTTGAGCTGCTGCTGCACTTGCATCTGCAGTTGCTTGAGTGGCTGAGAGTTTGGATCTCAGATCATCCACCTCTAACAGATACTGCATATGAATTAATTAAGTTATGATAATATATTGGAGGGTGTGCTTTGTTCAATTTGTGCTTCATTTTTTGCTTACCATAAATTGAATTTCAGAACTTGGAATTCTTGAATTATGTCGCTTTTTCGTATTGTCGAAGATCTAACCGGTAATTTAACAATGTTTTATGAATGAATTAATGAGTAAATGTTTCTAAAATGTTTTGAATAATTCTTTTTTTACCATTGATATGTAGGTATGCATCTGGGTTCATGCCTTGTGGTGTCTTTATTTTTTTGGAATTGTTATGTCATGAATCCATGTTCGTGCATTATAATTCCCAAGAGACCTAGTTTATTAAAATAATAATAATAATAATAATAATAATAATAAATAGACAAAGATGATGAAGTTAAGTAAGAACAAAGAGAAATGGGAGTTTGGAATAGGAGAAATAATTAATCCCAATATTGTACACTTAAATTGGAATATACCTTTTTCCTTCTCTTGAATTCTTGTCATTTTTGGTTGTCCTATTGGATTATATAGACTTCTAATTTAAGCATTTTTAAAATTTAAAGTCTTTTTTACCCTTCGGCACACCTTTCACATCATCTCTAATTCCCATTTCACTCGCCTTACTTTAATAATTATATTGTCAAGTGCAAATATGAAAAGTAAATAACATTCATACATTTGCCCAAAACTTTATGAAAATTAAAGATCCCATTTTTCATAGAGAGTATGTAGCTGGACAAGATAAGAAAGAAACAAATGCTTTACTAGAAATTGAGACAAATCTTTGAACCATTATAAAAAAATGCACAAAAGACAATACACAAACTCATAAGAACAAACACAAAGGCCAAAAAAAGATGCCTTTGTAATGGGCCATAAAGTAAATTCACTCAAAGCCAAAAAAACAATACCTGAAACCCTGAATTCAGATCCACCCTAAACTTTTAACATGAAAAGCTTTTTCTTAAAAAAAAAACTTAATTAATTTGAATTAGTAAAAGAGAGTAATTAATTAAAACAGTACCTTCTCAGCAGTGGATGTTGAAGCTTGAATCTGCAGATTTTTCTGCTCTAAATTCTTCTGCAATCTGTTTATTTCTTCTTCCATCTTCTTCGCCCTGCTCTCCACTTCCTGTAAATTTTAATGGAGTAATTGACAAAATAAATGAATTTAAATGAGACAAATTGAAGAGGGAACACAACTAACCTGTCTTGTTAGGGTTTCGCGAGCGAAGCTCTGCTCTTGAGATGCAAGGCGGCCGCGCACCTCCTTGAGCTCCGCCGCCAGCGACACCACGCTCCGCCGGAAACTCTGCTTCTTCTCGCTCAGATCCTTCAACAGCGGATCCACCTCTCCTCCATCCGATTTCACCGACGACGCCGCCGCCGGCCGCTCCGCCAGAGACATCAACGGAATTATACGGCAGTAACACTAGCAAACTCACTTCTCGCTGCGATCTTTATTATGAAAGCGGCAGGTAAGCATTTAGTCAGCTGGGCCCATTGACAAACCAGCGTTTTATTCAGGAAAAATTCAAACTTTTTTGAATTCAAGTTAGAAAATGGGGGAGAAAATCAACTCTCTCTCAAGAAAGCGGAAAATTAAACAGGAATTTAGACAGAGAAAGAGTCAATTTGAGATTTTCCCAAGAAAAAAAAATATAATCATTACTTTTATGGTTTCTAAGAGACACGAGAATCGTGTTTCTGGGAAAGAAAGCTGCTGGAAATGTGGGTATAAAAGGGGAAGGAAGACGGAGATCGTGGGTGTGACGGGAGATGGAAATCCGGCGAAGATTGACCGGAAACAGCTCACCGGACGGCGGAGAATTTGGCGACGAGCGTAAAATGCTCCGTCTATTTCTCTCTCTCTCTCTCTCTCTCTCTCTCTCTCTGGCTAGCTGGCGACTGGTGATTATCGATGACTTGGTGGGGACGGGGGATACTAGGCTCGGGGTGGCTCGGGAAGTCCGAGCCTCGGGCTTAGTGAAAAGGACAATTTTCGAACCTGGGTTTGGAATGACTTCAGCGCGGCAAATCGGAAAAATTTTGACGTCGGGAGAAAGGATTCGCCCACGTGGACTGATAACAGCCGCTTGATCTTCGGGAGGGTAGAGTGCGGAGTCCCAGCAATGACGTTGATTTAGGTTACCATTTATTCCCCCATTCTAGAGTTACACAAAAGAATATACTTTAAAATACGGAATATATAGGACTTTCATCTTAAATAGAAGGAAAAATTACCCAAAATAATACCAACTTTACCCGGTATTTCAAAAATAATCCCACCTTTCAATGTGATGCATAATAATCCCAACTTTATTGAAATTTGCCAATTTTGGGTCGCCGTTAAATTTCTAACGGAGGTTTAACGGAAATGCCCGTTTTAGGCAACAAAATGAAAGTTGGGATTATTTTTGATGAATTTTTGTTTTTGAATTTTTTTTGAAATTTTTATTTAAATTTTTTAAATTACTTTCAACCTCCATTTCTTTTTCTTTTTTAAAGATTATTCTTACCTTAGAAAAAAATAGATATCAAAAATAATGAAAATGAGAAAAATAACTAAAACCATACAAAATTAATCAAATAAATAATGTAATCAATAGAAATTCAACAGAAACTGGTAAGAAATAAAATAAATATATACGGAGTGGTGGGTTTTAACATTTTACTCACTATACGGAGTCTTAATGTACTACTTATTTTTTAAAAGAACAAGCCGTCCGGTAAAGTTGGAATTGTTGTACATATTTTTTTCTAAAAAATAAGAAGTGATATGTTAATACTTTGTATAATGCGTAAAATATTAAAACCCACCCGTATATTTTTATTTTACTTTAATTTTACCAACTTCAAGTTAGTTTCCATTGATTACCTTATTTATTTTATTATTTTTGTATCATTTTAGTTACATTTCTCATTTTTTTCATTTTTTATATCTATTATTTTTATTTTTTAAACTAAGACTAATCTTTAAAAAAGGAAAAAGAAATTATGATGGAGGTAGAAAGTAATTTAAAAATTAAAATGAAAAATTTAAAAAAAATAAAAAAACGAAAATTCATCAAAAATAATCCCAACTATCATTTTGTTGCCTAAAACGGGCATTTTCGTTAACCCTCCGTTAGAAACTTAACGGCGACCCAAAATTGGCAAATTTCAGTAAAGTTGGGATTATTATGCATCACAGTGAAAGGTGGGATTATTTTTGAAAAACCGGGTAAAGTTGGGATTATTTTGAGTAATTTTTCCTAAATAGAACTAAAACATAGAGAAATGTATCAAAATAGAACTTTCATATTTTTTTTCCCAGAATAAGACTTTGTATTATGGTAATGTGGCAGTGTACATGTGCAAATTACTATACTTTTTTGGTAAAGTATATGATCATGTTTGGTAATGTAAGTCCTATTTCGGAAATAAAAACATGGAAGTCCTATTTTGGTATATTTTCAATGTTTTAGTCCTAGTTTGATTTTTCTCCCTAAAATATACACTAAAAATATGTACTTCGGAGTATTAAAAATTTGATACTCCCTCCGTCCCTAAATATTCACAACATTTGCTTTTTCAGCAGTCGCGCGAACTTTTGTTTATTTCGATGTTTTCATTGTTAATTTGATAAAATAAAATATTCTTGACACCTCTTATTTCGAAGAACTTTTCATGTAGTTTTTTAATATGTAAATTTTATTTTTTATTTCTATACCAATATGTAAATAAAATGAATTGAAAAAACTTGATATTTTGCCTCGGGAATACAAATGTGGCAAATAATTTGGGACGGAGCGAGTAGTTTATTCTAAGCAAAAATGATAGTGCCATGAAAAAAGTTGTACTAGTATGGTAGTATCTTATGCGTGTGTGAACTATCACACTAAGATAAAATGAAAGTGTACACTTGTAATATATGATTTGGGATATAATTTTTGATGAACAAGTAGCTTACTTCTTTCGTCTCAAAATGATTACATAGACCGTTATTGTTTACATTAAAAAAAATGATTACATAAAGGTAAAATGAGGTAATTTTTCATTTTAAATTTTGTTTTATTTAATTATTGATATAAAAACAAAAAGAACGTAACCATTATTGTTATCAAATTTTCAAAATAATATTATAAATTTTTTATCACATATAAATATTTATCAAATACAAAAAAATTCAAACGTTTGTCCTTTTACATGCTACGAAGTACGTAGTATATTACAGTATATTGTGTATATTTTTCAACAAACTAAACAAAGCAAAGTTAGAGTTTAAAGATGATATGCATTGTATGTCATATATGCATTTTCTAATTGTGTATCATTACTTAATTGATTCATTTGAAATTTGTTGTTTTAAATTTTTTAATTGATGAAAATTATTTCATTATTGTTTTATTCAATGACTATTTATTTTGTATAAAACTTTTCATCACTTCATGCCACATATGCACATCATATCACATGTGATGCAACAAGTGCATTTTTATTTTTATTAAATTTTTATAAACCCCCCCCCCCCACTTTCTAGCATTAAATAACCTTAGTTTTTATTAAAAATTTTATAAGCCTTCACTTTTTTACACTAAATAACCATTATTGTTTTTAGTTATTTATAGACACTTCACTTTTGAAAACTTTTAAAAAAATATCTATTTAATTAGTACGAGTATAACATATTTTTTTAAACAATGCACAATTATTATAACATAATAATATCTAAACTTCATTCACTAAAAACCAACATTGTATATAATTTCTAAAACTATTCACCATTTATTTCATTTGAATACTTCTCAATAAAACTATTACGATTATATAAATTTTATGATAAATATACGCATTTTATTTAATATATATACAAGATTAGTTTCACACAATAATTATTTTATTATATATTTTTCAACAAACTAAGGAAAGAAAAATTTGTTTAAATGAATGACGACATGCGACATATGCCGCGCATATGGATTTTCTAATGACATGTCATGATGTGATTGGTTCATTTGACATTTTTTTAATAAAACCGATTTCTATTACCACTTCAATCAATAACCCTTAATTTTGTGTAAACTTTTCATTCTAGCTATGCACACCATGTCACATGTCTTGTCAGGTGTGCATACTTATTTTTATATTAAATAAGTATTAATTTTACTGATATGTTAAAAACCTTAACTTTCTAGTATTAAATCACCATTATCTTTATTAAGTATTTATAAAATCATTTACTTTTTTAAATAATCATGATGTTTATTATTTTTAATAAAACTCGTCACTTTCTAACTATTAGAAAATATATTTTCATTATTATAACATATTTTTAAATATGCATAATTATATGATTGTTCAAAGAAAAGTATTATAATTTTTTTAATAAAAAAAACTAACATGTTATGTATTTTTAAAAGCAATCCAACATTTATTTTAGTAGAAATTACCCTAAATAGGACAAAAGTAAAAAACATAGAGAAAGTACCAAAATAAGACTTTCATGTTTTTTTCCCGAAATAGGACTTTGCATCGTGGTAATGTGACTTTGCATTGTGATAATGTGATAGTGTACATGTGCACATTACTATACGTTTTTGGTAATGTATATGACCATGTTTAGTAATGTAAGTTCTATTTCAAGAATAAAAACATAGAAGTCCTATTTTGGTATATTTTCAATGTTTTAGTCTTACTTTGGTCTTTTTCCCTTATTTTAGTTTGTTATTTCTAACAAATAACTATATTTTATTAACTATATATTTTAGTTCAAAATGTTTTTACTGGAAAATTATACATTTTTATATATTATTTCAAACTATAATAATCTTTTTGAAATGAAGGAAATATATAGACAAAAGATCTTAATCTATTTCATCAAATGATTGTATTCAATTAGAGTTAATGTGTTACACCACTTTAAAATATATATTTTTTAAAAATATGTTTCATACATAATTAGTTATATATCTAAAAAATTTATAAACTTTATTAATCTTTAAAAAAAGCCTGAAGTTGTTCTTAATAAAGTATTCATCATTCTCTTTTGTTACATCTCAAAATAAAGGTTTATATAAATTTTAGGACATGTGCATCAATAATTCAATATTAAAACCAAAATCTTTTTCTCTAAAAGCAATATTTATACTAAAAAAATTTATCAAACAAATCATATATCATTCAAGAATAAATAAACAATATTTTATTTTTTAAAATTTAGAAAATATGCGAGCCCGTGCGAAGGAGGGAGTTAATACTAGTATACTCTATAATATTTGGATAGTGTGTAAAATTTATGTAGAAGGGAGAAAGTAACATGGTGAGTTGAATTTTTCTTCATTTATTTTGACTTTTTTAATTAAAATTGCACACAGTTTATTAATCATCAATTAAAATTAAATACCGTAAAAAAAAATTAAATTAAATTTTTACTATAAATTAAAATATAAAGATTGCTTTTTAAAAATATTATATAAGACAAATCCAATCAACTTTTAGTTGTGTACTAATATTATCTAAGTGTTTTTCTTTGCTAATATTTATAGACTTATTGCTTATAAGTAGATTTTAACTTATAAGATGTTTATAAATAAAAAATTCTTTCATGTAGATAGAATGACCTCAATGATATAAAAGTCATTTGGGGATATTGATAATGTATGAGGAAAAAATTGTAAGTAATTTGGTCGAAATGGAGAATCGAAAAAATTGGCTTAAAAATAAATTACCTACTTATTTTTCATAGTTTACATGCAGCTACTAACTTATAAATTAAAAACAGTTTATAAGTTGATCAGTTTATAAGCACAAAGAAATACACACTATATACATAGACCATAGTACTACTTCAATTAATTCATATTCGAAATATATATTGTTTAATTCGAAAAAATAGAATGATCGTATGTGGAAGAATTACTCATTCCGGGATAAAATGTTCTTCCCAGTTACTATTCAAACGGTCAAACTTTAATCACATTCTTTACCTATTTCCGTTATTTATTTCATAAAATAATATAGTCTTGTCAGCTCTTGTTTTCTAGAACTTTTGATATAATTCTTAAATGTATAAATATTTTTTTTTAATATTACACGTACAATCAAATAAATTGAATTGAAAATAAAATCGATTAAAACTCGTAAAAAATGAAATAAAGAGAAGAACATTTTAGATCATGTAAAATTCTAAAAAAGGAAAGCACAAATAATAAGTACAAGTACATTCTTTGGGATTGCACGGCTGACGGCTTTACACCAAGAAATAGGCAGCCAACCGCCCGCCCACTAGGGCCCGACCCCCGTCCAAACCTTTCCGCTTCCGTCTTCTCCTCCCTCCTCCCTTTCAAATTTAACTCCCCTGCGGGTTTACTGTCTTCTCGTTTCCGCTCCTGCACAAACCGCTCCGCACTTCGCTCGCCGGACGACTGAGATTCGTCGCCGGAAGTTGTGGAATCGATGAGCGTTTCGGGCAGAGGAGCATCTCCGTCGACGGAGCCGGCCGAGCCGCTTTACTCGGCTGGGAAGATATCGGTGTGGTGGGACATCGAGAACTGCCAAGTCCCGGTGAACTGCGACCCGCACGCCATCGCGCAGAACATTAGTTCCGCGCTGGTGGCGATGAACTACCGCGGGCCTGTTTCCATTTCCGCCTACGGCGACACGAAGAAGATCTCATCGTCGACTCAACACGCCCTTAACAGCACCGGAATCGCTCTGAACCATGTCCCGGCTGGTATGTATGCCTTGCTGCTCCGTATAATCCGATTGCGGTTGTGATTTTTGAGAGTTTTGTTTCATCGATTTAGAGGGAAAAATGTTTTGATTTTTGTTGCATTTTCTTGTGGCGATAATACGGATTAAGGAATTTCGATGATTTTATCCGATGGTTTTAATTGGTAGGTCTAATCATTAGCATTAAATCTGGAGTGCTATCTATGTGTTGATGAAGGTTTGGATTATAGTAGCTGTGCGGATGATTTGTATTAGGGATTTCACATGTTTTTCAAGTGAAAATTGAAATATTATTGTCAAACATGAATACAAATGTAGAAGAAGTCTTGCTGGCTTCAGTTTGAGTAGCCATCTTCATGACTGATGAGCTATTGTGACCTTTTTCTGTACTCACTGTAGTTTATGAAACTTCAATCTTAGGACACATTTCTTATGGCACTCTCTACTGAGAATAAGCTGATTAATTCTCCCAAGCTGGGCGTAAATGATATTTGTTCATTTGAATATATTTATAAATGCCATTCATTGGGTAATTGTAATTTTTTTTTGTGCACATTAGGTGCTAAAGATGCAAGCGACAAGAAGATTCTTGTGGATATGCTGTTTTGGGCAGTGGATAATCCTGCCCCTGCGAATTATTTGTTGATATCTGGCGATCGAGATTTTTCTAACGCTCTCCATCAGTTACGAATGCGCAGATACAATATTCTTCTAGCACAACCTCAAAATGCTTCTGCAGCTCTTGTTGCTGCAGCAAAGAATGTATGGCTATGGACAAGTCTTTTATCAGGAGGCCCACCTCTTCCTAAGAGCGAGTTCAATCAATTAACTATGGCAGATAGTGTTTCCATTCATTCAAATCAGTCCTCTGCTAAGCAGCCTGATAGTCTTCATTATGCTAACAATAAGTTTGGCAACAACATCGGACGTGGCCCAGATGTTAATTATACGGGCAAACACATTCGAAGAAATATATTTCAATTCAGTAGTATGTCAAGAAATTCAAGTACGATGGTGAGACCTCATGAAGACCATATTAACCCGATATTCCATCATGGACAGGATTACTCTAAAAATTTCAACAGTTCTCAAGATATAGCAGCTCATACACCAGGATTTCGACCTATTCCCAACAATTCTCAACAATTTCGACCTACTCCAAGCATCACTTACCCTGTATCATCTTTGATGAATGCTAGTAACACAACAAAACAATGTCAAAACTCCTCAACAATGCCAGCAAGACCAAACATGCCACCGCCAGCAAGAGCCAATCCGTTTCCACCGCTTCCACACAGCCGCCCTACATTTGCTCCTGACAATGGCAGGCCAAAAGTTAGTGAATTTCCCATTAGTGGATGCAACCCTTCTCTTTTTCAACCAAGTAATGAAAAAGAGGTGAAACCATTTCCAAGTATCAATTCTTCTGATCATCCAAACCTCAACGTGCCTCAGAAAGGACAAAATATCCAAGAACAAACTTCAATTTACAGTGAGAAAGATTCCAACAGTTACCAGCTCTATGGGAAAGAGAGTGTGACGTCAACTTCATCCACAACCCGTTCTGACTATGACTATGTGCTGAGCCTTGGGGAGGTTATTATGCGTGCTTTGGATATGCTAAAAAAGGAGATGCTTATGCCAACTGAAGAAAACATCACTGATTGCATTCGTTTTGGAGACCCACGTTATCGTGACACTAATGTTCAGAAGGCTCTTGAGAGTTCACTTAAACATCAGATGGTAGTAATGCAAAACTTAGGAACCTTGAAACTATATGTGCGCAAGAATAGTTTATTGTGGAAGTGTGCCAATCTAATTGGTGGAAATCCAAAGGAATATTCAACAGAAATCTGGGATAAAATCTATAAATTCATATCTTCCACTGTTGGAAAATCTGCTCTGTTGGCTACTCGAAGCAGGTATAATTTATAAAATTTACTCTAGCACTTGATTAACATTAGTGCATCACTACAAACTACTAATTGGCTGATCATGAAACACATTAACCTGGTATAACACCAGGTTGTACATCCCACTATAAAAAAATCATCCCATTTTGAATTGGATAACAATTATGACATTATTGTGTTTTGTTGAAGGTATGAAGCAGCAACTGTTTTAAGGGACAATAGTTTAAAAGAGTTTACCCTTGGTGAAGTACTTAAGATCTTGCACATGGTTATCAATATTAAAAAATGGATCACGCATCATCCATCAGCATGGCAGCCAATCACTATTACTGTTGCAGAGACTAACAATGCCACGGTCCAGGACAGTTAAAGGCCTTCATATACTTTCTCTCTCCCTCTCCCTCTCCCTATTTCTTCCTCTTGTTATGTTTACTAGCTGGAGCTTAAGCTGGTAAAATTTTGATCCTCTCTCATTATCTTGTGAAAGTGTTAGTCAGTGTTCAACTGTTTGAGTATTTGGAAACTGGCAAGTACAAGCCTGCTTCGGATTTCTTACAATGAAGATTAGAGTATATGCCACATGGAGACTGGATCTGTTTTAGCCCCTCACTGGTCTTATACTTGGAATCGTAAATATCATCTTCTATTCATCTACATCTATCCTATATCTGGAAAGTAGTATACTACTATGATGGAATTACCATCAATGAATTCAAAGAGAATAAGTTCTTAACAGAACTTATTTGAGGAGTCTTTGATTACCTTGGAGCATATAAATCTCTGATCGAAGTCAGTAATCCTGCATTGGTATGGGTGCCGGTTGTGCTACAAATATACTTGTGGGCTTCTTCGGTTAAAAAACAAGCGTCCTACAAAAAAAGCATCAATGAACATGTTTTCTTCTGAACATTTTTGAGATTTACAGTTAGAAGGAAACTAGAAACAAACAGTCAGTATTTTGTATAAATGCTGAATGCCGCTGCCAATGAAGTGTTGCAAGGTTGAGGTATTCACCAAAGGATCACTCGAGTTCCACATTCAGCTTGGCATTCGAACACAAATGGATGCTTCGTATCCTTTTGATTTTTGTACTCCTTGGTTACTTTTAAATGTCTTGTGACGGGTATGCCCCCAAATTAGCACAATACAAATCGAACTGGTTATGTTGTCTTTGTTGTGTACAAGTTTTCTAGTTATATGATGTTATAGGGTTATAGCCTACTAAGATCTACCAAAAACTACGTTTATATGCGCTTTTCGATTACAACATTTTGAAGCTTGCTTGTATTCCGTGTGCGATGTGAAGAGAAAGATGTCTGTTTTTCTGTTTGTGAAATGTTTTTTACCATCGGTTTTGATTTTTTCCCCAATGAGAATCAAAATATGTAGGTGTATAGTCATTCGTTTTTAAGAGTTTGGCTCTGTTTCTACTCCTTTTTGCTGTTTTTGAACCACATTTCAAAATGTGACTTGCAATAAACAAAGCTTCAACTATAAGTTGAATTAGACCTTGCCACCTGAAATAAATGTTGGTTATTTCTAATAACATGTGATAATTCTTTTCCTATAAATCAATTTTATTGTGGGGTATGAGGTGTTTATTTTCTCATGGATTATTCATGTTTTCACACAATATATTGTATTTATTTTGAAATGATTTTTTTGTGGGAAATTATGTTTAATGTACTCGTTTTTATCATATCACTTAAAAATCATCTTTTAAGTCTTTTTTTTGTCTTAAAACATCATATTTTGCCAAGTCCAAATTTGGATGTGCAATTAGTTGAAATGACCCTTTTTGTCTACATGTGATATGCATGTGCTCTTTACTTTGATATTGTACTCATATTAAGTGTGATTGTTGTTTAGATAATGAAAAAAATATTAACTTTGTAATCAACCTAATATTTATTAAGTAGTTGTAAGGAGGACCAGCAGTTGTGCATATCATAAGTTTGTTGAATATAATGTTATAATAAAAAAATATGTTAATTGTTTGAAAAACTTCAATATTATGCTGATTTAAGAGCATAAATGTGACAGTATAGTTATCAATAAAAGTAATGACTCCATATCTATTTCTTCATCCACTAATCATGTCATTTAGTCCACAAACATCACAATCTCAATACCTTATAAATAAAAGTGAACATGGATTCAACTTGAACATATTTTCATCAAATTTTACACTAGTTTTACTGCAAATTCGGTTGTCCAACTCCAAACCCAACTTGATTCAATAATTACATCAAACCATTTTTTTAATGCACGTACTTTATTTAGACGAAATTTAGGAGGTTCATACAAGACATGTCACTCCAAAGTAGACCTGTACAAACTCAACTCAATCCGTCCAGTTCGCCCATTCCATCCTTAAAAAAGAACACATACAATTGACAATGAACTCATTGTTAATTCCAAGACGTTGACTAATTTTTTGGCAAAATTGAAATCAATATTTAGTAGGAGTTTTACTAAGTAGAAACCTCGATTTGTTAGAAATAAATTTATTTTATTTTGGCTCATAGAGTTGCTGCAGTCTTCAAAGGTGACATAAAAGATGCTACAACACAATATACGGGTTCAGGAGTCTATGCACGGGATTTTAAGTTGTGATATGCAATTTTCAGAATCATAGACCTATAGGGATTGTGACTGCATGCTGAAATTTATTTATAATAAATCCACCTCGTATTTAGAAGGTCTTAGGCTACTTGTGGATGAAGATTATAGAAGTGGTTTTAAAGACAAACCCTGTGCATTCCTTTGAGCGACTTTGAGGGAAAAATATGCAGAAAATATGTTGATCTAGAGCATTCACATCGCGTCCCGAAGCTTTCCTTGCGTGAAGAAAGTTATGATCAACATGAGGAATGAGATCTTCAATGCCAAACAGATCATAACATCAAGAAGATGAACTCGAGCTTACAGAGAGGGCTGCCAACACGTTTGTCTTTGTGATCTTGGTGGAGATGTGAAAGTCAAAGCGAATTTGTACATGGTACAGGTTAAAAATCCTAGATTAAAAGTTTTATCATAACAATTTGGAGGGCTAAGTTATTGGTGTAACTTGCATCTAGTGATTTAGTGGAAGGTTATTACACAGACGCGGATCCCAAAGAGTAGGAGAGTTTTCCGAACTGCGTAAACATATTTGGTGTTATTTTTTATGTATTTTATAGTTACAGCGTTCTGTCCAGTTGGCACTGTAACACCCTCTGTATCATCTGCTTCTGTGTGTGTGCTTGTGACGGAGAAAATGTTATAGCACACCGTCTATCATTTGTTTCTGTGACAATGCTATAACATTCTCTTAGTAGTCTATTTGTTTGCATAGCTTTTATTTGGTGATTTACGCCCCCACGAAAGTGACTAACCCGGCTCGAGCTATAACTTTGACTGCATGAGCGAGTATCATACAAATTTGCATCTTTTTGGAACATTACATTTATTTATTTTACATTGATTGAGCAATTATAATTTTATAGTGTTGTATGGTGTAACAATCATATTATATTCAGTTTAATATTAAATACAATATTAGATACAAATATTATAATTAAAAATATTTTCATAAAATAAAAAGTTCTGGGCTGAGTCATCCTATAGCCTGATTGGATCACTTTCATGGGTAGATCCAAATTTTATAGCCCGCCCAAATATCTGAGCAAACAATTCACCTAAGCCCGGTCCATATCTGGCTCAAAGCTGTATTTGTGTTATTGTGTAGGTCTACTCCAAAGTACTCTTGTATAATTAAGGTATACAAACACCTTATTTGTTTACAAATACTTTTATTCAAATTATAAAATTCAAAATTAAAGTCAGGCTAGGGCCTAGGAGTACACCAAAATGGGATACTCTAATTGTACATCAGACAAATACAAATACATCGTATCTGTAATCAGAGATGCTAAATATTTGTATTTGCCTGGGTAGAATTCTAAAACATGATTAAGAATAATAATAACGACTTTACTGGAGGAATACCATGAGAACATTGTTCTTCCAGCCTGCAGAGTCACTCCCATGGCTGTAAAACTCTCAGTTCCAAACCTTTCTAAGAAAATTCATGTGTGGGTTTACCAAAGTCGCTATCTTTCTTGGCTTTCAAGTGCAGATTTCATCCGGAGCCCCCAAGAAACTGATGGAAACTTGCCCAGTCTCCCTGGGTTTCAAACAAAGATTCATTCTGTAAAGAACCAGCTTCTCCCAGACACCCTAATAAATGCAATTGAATCCACTGCAGATTTGGACTCTTCTTTGAAGCTGCTCAAATGGGCTTCCCAGAAGCAGTTTCGCCACACCTCTGATACATATCACGCCATAATCTTGAAATTGGGCATGGCCCGAAAAGCAGGTGAAGTCGAGGGTTTCTGCAAAGAGATGGTGAAGGAAAAATGCCCGGGTTTTGAAGAATCCCTTTTTTCTCTGATTGATTCTTTTGTTAGGAATCATAAGCTTAGTGAGGCTTTGTGTGTTGTTTCTTGTTTGCATTCATGTAGTAACACTAAGCCTCCATCCATATCTGTGTATAATCAGTTGCTTGTTGCCCTTGTCGAGGCCAAGAAAGATTTTAAGGATGTTGTGTATGTATACAAAGAGATGGTGAAAGCAGGAATCGTTCCGAACACTGATACACTGAATTGTTTGTTGCGGGCGTTGTTGGATGCGGGTCGGGTCGATGCAACTTTGGATCATTATAGAAGAATGGAGAGGAAAGGGTGTAAACCTAACAGTAGAACTTTTGAGATCATTATAAGTGGACTTATATCTAGGGATAGATTTGGGGAATCACTTGTGGTTTTGGATGAAATGTTTAGTTCCAGGTGCGAACCAAATCTGAGTTTTTATGCTTCCATACTGCCCATATTTTGTGAAATGAATGAGTTAGAGGTGGGAATGAGGTTGTTTGGAATGATGAGATCTTCAAAGATTTCTCCAAGTGCATCAATGTATGGGTCTATGGTACAATGCCTGTGCAAGAATCTTCTCGCGGACGAAGCTTTAGAACTAGTTGAAGAGATGATTGGTAGTCATCTCATTCCAGATGAGTCTGTGTTCACTAGTGCAATTGATGTGTTGTGTAAAACCCACAGATTGGGAGCGGCTAGGAAGTTATTGGAAGATTATAAGGTTTTCACTGTTTCTCCTTATAATCTTCTTCTCCGGGCATATTTCCAAGCAGGTAAATTTCGTGCTGCGCGAGACCTGTTTGATGAAATGTTCAAGAGAGATGTAACAGATGTTGGGTCATGGAATATCCTCATTAGACACTTTTGCGAGAATGAACAGATGGATGATGCTCTCAAGTATCTATGCAAGATGATCATTTTGTCGGTTGATCCAAACGCTGATACTTTTTCTGCCCTTATCATAGGCAAATGCTTATCGGACGAATGCGAAGAAGCCCTAACATTGTTCCATAAAGTTTGGGACAAATCATGGATTCTTGACGATCTTTCATATGGTAAACTGATCGATTGTCTATGCCGAGGGAAAAGGTATGAAGAAGCTGCAGAAGTGTTCTCCCTAATGTCTAGCAAAAGCCTTCCTCTCAACTCTGCATCATTTGAGATGCTTATCAAGGGCATTTGTGGAAACAAAGTGCCAATTCTTCATGGCCTCTCTAAAAGCAATAACGTGGACGAATCGTCTGTTTACAACACTTTGATCAACACCCTTTGGAGAGGAGGGTACATAGTAGAGGCCACTAAATTGCTGGAGTCGGTAGGTTTTTCATCGGATTCTTCGGGGAAGGGTACTCATGCGGTGTTAATGGGGTCTTTTGTGGAAGATGGAAAACCTACCGAAGAATCCGATGTCTGTGAGGACAGAGTTAGTAGCATACTTGCTGAGGGGTTAGCAGATTGTGATTAACCATTTTAAAGATCAAATAAACCTAACTGATATATGACATTTTTTGAGAGCTTTGGTTTTGAACACTGTCTGAGATTGTGAATTTAGCTGCCAAATGTGATTGTGAGTTGTGTTCTATATGGGCTGTTTGGAGTTGCGTTCGAAAACGGTTTTTGAGTTTTTGATTCATCAAAATACAGCTCAACGTGTTTGACAATTCGTTTCTGCTTATAGTTTATGGGTTCAGAAGTGTAAAATGAACTTCTGAAATGAAATGCTTTTTCAGCAGAGCTAAGAATAAATACTTTCGGTTTCTAATTATTTTTTGCATTTGCTGTCCTAGGCACAGGAGAAAAATGTTTCACTTGGAATCTTTTGTATTGAGGAAATAAATGATCATGGGTAGGGATGTACAAAATTTGGCTCGGATCGGAAAACCAGATCGGACCCGACTGTAAAATCCGGTTTCAGGCTAGACTCGTAAAAACCCAGACCAGTCACCGGTCTTAGAATTGAAGACCGGTATAATTCTTATCCAAAATCAGATGGTTTTCGGGTTGAACTGTTAAGACCAAAATGTGTTTATTCTGTTATTCTTTTTTCTTTTAATACTAATATTTTATTATAAATAATTTTTTATTTATATAAAAACTTTAAGTATAATGTTTGGGCTTAGACTTTTTTAAATATTTTTATATGCAACTCGGTAAAATATAAATGTACTAAAGTGAAACTTTATCAATATTTTTGAAACTTGACAAACTAACGGAGCTACAAATTTTATTTAAAACGTATCATATTATTGATTAAATATTTGTATGTTGATATTATATCTATCTTGAAACACAATCAAGGAATATAAAAACAGAAAAATAAGGTTGCTAGCATAGTTTTAAAAACCGGACAGGACCGGCCGGTTCGGACCGGGAACCGGTGAACACGAGGTCGAGCTGGTCCGGTCCGGCACTTTGGACCTCTTCGCGCATGAACCAGTTCAAACCGGTAAGAACCGGCCGGTTCACCCGGTCGAACCAATTTTTTTTTTTTTTTTTGCAAATTTGGCCAAAATTTTTACTCCTCCCCCGGACCGGGAACCGGTGAACACGAGGTCGAGCTGGTCCGGTCCGGCACTTTGGACCTCTTCGCGCATGAACCAGTTCAAACCGGTAAGAACCGGCCGGTTCACCCGGTCGAACCAATTTTTTTTTTTTTTTTTGCAAATTTGGCCAAAATTTTTACTCCTCCCCTAAGATTCGAACCCTCAACCTATTGATTGTTATCCAAAGCTATCAACCAACCAAGCAAGAACATTTTTTGTTACATATTGGTTCTAAGTAGTATATATTCCTTAATTAAAAGAGTAAATATGAATTAAAAGATTTCTTTATTTCTTAAACTAAAATTCTTAACATTTAAAAATAGAAATAATTCTAATACGGAGTACGTGTCATGAAAAAAATTTATTTTAATATTTTTGGATATTAGGCAAAATATATAAAGAAAAATAAAATATCATTATTTTATAAAACTTTTAATGTATTTTTCGATACGTAAATTTTATTTTAAATATAAATTGACTAACAAAATAAGTTAGAATGATTAAAATTTTAATCAAATATCATTAAATTTTATGTACAGATGAAAGAAATTATTTTGATTTTATACAAAATACGTATATATATATATATATATATATATATATATATATATATATATATATATATAAAATATGTTTAAACCACTGGTTCGACCAGTAAACCAGTGAACCAGTACCCGGACCGGTTCGGTCCCCGGTCCGGTTTTTAAAACTATGGTTGCTAGGTCGTCAAAAAGAGTGAAATAATTTGAGAAAAAAAAATTGGGTTTTCAGGTAAAAAACTAGATTGTAATTTTTGAGGTTCCGATGCTTGGACAGCATACGCACAACTAATCTTGGACCCTATATGTTTAAGGAAGTAAATCTGGGTTTGATATCAAACAACTAAGGGGATTTCTATTATTGCCTAAGCCCAAACCTCTCTCCCTCTCAGTCATAGGACTACCTTGTCTGTAGCATCTTTGTAAATATTTTGAATGCGTGTGAATGTGCAATGTCGAACACAATTACGAATATGCATGGCTTCGAATCCCACATTAAACTACTCTTGTTTTTTACGAAGAAACTTTTATAAAGTTTTGGACATTAAGGCTACATTCTCTTTGGCTGATATAATCTGAATTGAATTTTTTAAGATCTGATCTGATCTAAATGAATATCTGATCTAAATGGATCTAATCTGATCTGAATGGATCTCATCTGATCAGAATAAATTTGATCTCATCTGATCCGAATGGATTTCATTTAAATTCAAATAATTATTATTATATTAATAATAATTATTTATTATTATTAATATAATACAATACTAATTTTTATTTTAATCATTATTATTATTATTATTGTTATCATTATTAGTTTAGTAATTATATTTATTGATATTATTATAAAAATTATTATTATTGTTAATAATATTTAGTGTTATGATTATTGATGGTGATTATCAATATTTAATATAATGTATGATAATAATAATAATTTATTATTAATTATATATAATTATTATTAATAGTATTACAATAATAATTTTATTATTAATAATTATAATCGTAATTATTAATTATTATTACTATCATTTTTATTTCAATAATTCTATTAACTATTATAATTATTACTATTATTATAAATTTATAATTAGTGTTGTGATTAATGATGATGATTATCATTATTAATTATAATAATAACAATAACAATAATCTTTTATTAATTATTATTATTAATATTAAAATAATAATTTTTATTGATGCTAATATAATTTTAATTATTAATTGTTATTATTTTAATAAATATATTTATTATTATTATTATTACTATTATTATTATTATAAATAATAGTTATTATTAATATTAAGTGGTATGGTTAATGATAAAGATTATCAATATTATTATTATATTTACAAATAAGTATTATTATGAATTGTTATTATCATTATTATTAATTATTATTTATTAAAAAGTATTATTATTATTAATTTAATTATTATTATTATTTTAATTATTTTTGTTATTATTAATTACTACTTCCTCCGTCCCGCAAAAAAGTTCTCATTTTAACTTTTCGAGGATTTAAGGGGAGTATATTTTGGTGTTGACTTTTTAAAAATGCCCTTTGATGTGATGAATAAAGTAAGATGAAATGGATAGATTAATAGAGAAAAGGTGTAATGTGATAGGTATGTTAAGAATTAGTAGGGGTAAAAGTGACTTTTTAAAAAAGAAAAGGGAAGTATTTTTTTGCACGGATGAAAAAGAAAAGGGGAACGTTTTTACGAGACGGAGAGAGTATTATTATTTGTTATTATCATTATTATTAATTATTATCAGTTAAAAGTAATTATAAACATTATTATTATTATTAATGATAATAATAAGAATTAGTATTGTTATTATTGTACTCCCTCCGTCTCGGAGTATTCGTCCAGTTTTGACTTTTGAAACTGTTCATCTAAGCACTTTGACTCATCAAATTCTCTCAATGTGTAAGCCTAAATATAGTCATGTGTGATCTTGTTTGATTTGTCTTAACATATAGATCATTAATATATAATTTCTATAATTTTTTAATATACAAATTACAAGATAAAATGGATTAAAGAAGTGTATTGGATGATGTGTAAAAATGAAAGTGGACAAATACTCTGGGACGGAGGTAGTAATTATTAGTGTTATTGTAATATTGTTTATTTTTTAAATACTTTTCTTATCTGAATGGATCTGAATGTATTTGATCTGATCTAAATGAATCTGATCTGAATAAATATGACCCGATCGGAACTGATTTGAATAAACTTGATTTGATATAAATTGATCTAAACGAATCGAATCTGAATCTAATAACAATAAGCAATAAGTAGCAGAAATAAATTTAAGAGAACAGTACCTAAGGTTCTATCAAATATCAAATTTCTACATAAATAACATTTCATATATCTTGACTTACCAAACCCCAACGTAGCTGGAATTATACAAAATTCTTCTTTACCATCCCAAAATTAGGCCCTGTTACGTTCAACTTATTTTTTCTTATTTTTTCTTATTTTTATTAAAATCAGATCAGACCAGATTAGATCGAATCAGATTAGATCAGATCGTATCAGACCAGATCAGATCGAATCAGATCACATGAGATTCAATCAGATCAGATCAGATCAAATCCTATCAAGAATTATTATTATTATTATTATTATTATCTTTATTATTATTATTATTATTATTATTATTATTATTATTCTTAAGAATGAAAAAGCATAAACTTTAGAAACAAGTTAAATAGAAAACTGATTATTAGAAAAAGTAATCCTTAATTATTAGATGTCGAAAAAATTATTTTTAAAATACATTAACAATTAACAATGTCAATCTAATTTTTACTTTTAAAATACTCCTTTCGTCCCCCATAGATTTTCCCAATAGCCCTTTTCTTCTGTCCACAATAGATCTTCTCATTTCATTTTTTAACAATTAAAATACCACAACTACCCCCACTTACTTTATTTATTACACCTCACCCACCTCATTTAATACATTCCAGACTCCACCCATTTTCATTAAGAATATTATGGTAAACTTTCACCTTTTTTCAACTTTCCTTAAAAATCAACCAAAGTCAAAATGAGAACATCTTGGAGGGACGGAGGGAATACATTTTTATTGTTACCTGTAATTTGAGTTTCTAAAGTTTTAATCTTTTGTAAGGATGAAATATTTTAATAAAAATACTATCTCTTACATATATTTATTATCTAAATTTAATTACTTTTTAATGTATATATAAATTAAATATTTATTCTAATGTACATATGAAGTAATTACTAAAATATTAAATTAATATTCTAATTTCACAAACAAATAATCATAAAATAAAAAATATTATTACATTATAATATTAATGATTATTCTAATATATGAATTAACTAATTTTATTTTATTAAAAAATAATCATAAAATAAAAAATATTAATTATATTAAAATATGAATTATCACTACAATTTTCAAACGTTATTATAAAGTCAAATTAAATTATTGATATGAATTTTAAATCAAATCATAATTAATCAGATCAGACCAGACCAGATCAGATCCAATCAGATCAGACCAGATCAGATCCAATCAGATCAGATCCAATCAAATCAGAACTTATTAAAATCAGATTAGATCAAAAAAATAAGTTGAACGAAATGGAGCCTTAGTCACTCTGTTCACATTTTTCCAAAAGAAAGTATAACTTGCAATATTTCTCTCTTATAAACAAAATTCTAATCATCCACTTTTTAGTTTGAACTTTTTTAATTCTACAAAGTAAAAAAACCATTCGACTAGTTCTGAGGGCCACCGCAATATGGTTTTTTAACAAAGTAAAAAGATGCCTTTAAATTAGGTACATACTCCCTCCGTTTGCAAAAAAACTTCCCATTTTGATTTAGGGCAAAAATAAAGAAGTGTTAAATTATAGTTGATTTCCAATTTTTGCCTCTGATGTGATGTGTAAAAGTAAGATGTGATGGATAAATTATTAGAGAAAAGTATGATGTGATAGGTAGGGTATGAAAAAGTAAGGGTAAAAGTGATTTTTTAATAGAAAGAGGAAGTGTTTTGTTGGAAGTGGAAAAAATGAAAGAAGAAGTGTTTTTGGGAACGGAGAGAGTATTTTTTAGGAAAATCATTTTCATATGCCTTCCTTTTAATAATGAATGAGTTTGCCTTGCCTGAGAAGAGACAATTTTTTCCCTTGAAAGAACATGTTCTATTCCAAAATAAGATTCTTTTAAAAAAATGAAGTTCCCAATGTTGTCCCAAAAATGGAAAAAAGACATGTCCTTTTTTTTGTACCACTTTTTGGCACTGTACCAGATAATGCTTCTATGTTACCAAGTACTCAGATGACACAAAAAACCCAAACCAGCCCATTCCCAGAACTGCAGCACATAGATTTCTATGTTTAGAATGAAAACCACAACTACTTGTGCTATTACAGTCTTACCTTGGATTGCTGGAGAGAACAGAGAAGGCCCAGAACTCCCAGGAGTCCTTGACAGAGTCCCTTTGGCAATTTTACCTATAACAACCTTAACCTTTTGGTAACAAAACCGGACCACATCTACATCGAATATTCATAAACGGAAAAGATTAAAATGTTCAGAGCAAGCAGTTCATTTATTCGCAATAAACTGCATCAGACATGTTCAGTTTGTGAGGTTATGAAACTATCTAACAAATGCCTAAGGCAAAGAGCACCAAAAACTGTGCACAGATTTTGGAGGGAAAAAAATTCTCTAAAAGATGTTAAATGCAAGCTGTTGCAGTGCCAAACATAGACAAATCGAAGGACAAGCAAGTTATGCAATGACATATAAAATGGAGGCTGCTACCTTTTGGATCAATGTTCTTCCATTATACTCGTAAATAATAACCGAACAATCACAACCATTTCGAATGCCCGAGTTCTAGCTCATCACAAGTTCATTAGCAGATCAATCCAGAACAAGAGCCATCATTAACACACAAAGTTTGATACACTAGTGATGTTTATATCCATTGTAGGTTTGCATGTTCGACCAACTTAAGTACTCCCTAGTCCCTCTGTCCACACTTCGTTGTTTGCTTTTTTAAAAAAATCTCATTTTTAAGAAATGCATATAAAATCTCAAATAAGCCCTTCCATTGAGTATATCACTTAATCATGTCAACAATGCTCACACCTTATCTCTATGATATTTTAGACAAATCATCATTTTTTGTTAAGTGAACTTTGAAAGGGAATAACTAATTCCGGACAACCAAATTCGGACCAGAAGGTGCAAGCAAATAAGTCACAGAGAAGGTGCAACACAGGTGCTCATTCAGACCAAAGCTGACAATTTTGGGTAGGAGTGTGCAAGGGAAAAAGAGTATTCCGTCTAGATGATTAATAAAACATTGAAACCTATGGCACATAAAAAGATGATTTCTAAAAAGTTGAGCAAATACTGTCTTACATTTACCCTCCGCAGTATTAACATTCAGATGTCTAGACATATAATTATATAAATAAAATTGTAAAGGAATTTTGTCATAGAAATATTCCTAGTTGTTGACTTGTTTCTACACTTCAGTAAAGCATCAGAAATCAATGCATCTAGAAATATCATACTACGTACATAACTACATAAGTACAACACAAGCTCTTGAAATTTCTACATAGAACTACACTCTAGCATTAAGAAAAGGCTTTACTAATAACAAGAATCCCCCAACTCACAAAACTTATGCACTTCTCATCCCTATCAAGGTCCAAAAAAACTAGCCTCATGCAAAGAGAAGCCTGCAAACAACAATAGAAACCTTAAATATAATGGAACATGAAACAATGGCATTAATTAGAAATTCTAACATCATATAAAAATCCAGACCTTTGCCATAAAGCACCATCAAACTGTACTTAGATTAACATTGTTCTGTTCCGCGGCAAGAATCAATCTGTTTTGCTGATCTTGCTCCTCTTGAGCAGGTAAAGAACCCACTCCAATAATATTAATACTCACTTCTTGATCATTAGCAATATCAAACTCAGCAATATCCTCAGCCATTCCATTCTCATGACTATCTTTGTGATTCTGAACAATTGGTAGCCCAGTAAGGGAATCAGGAGCCACACTCAACCCCTCATCCTCTATATCCATGTGAACAATGTTATTCGGAAATTGCACTTCCGCCAGTTCCTTATTCAAAGCTGCCACAACCTCACTAGATTTATCAACATTGTCCATATTCTCCACTCGATTCCTCACCGCCACACTATTGCTTCCAATGCCACCCATTATTCCCCTCTGAACCAACAAAACCTCATTCCTCCTCATCCTCTCCTCAGCAGCAGCCATGTAGGAAACATGTTCCAGTGCCTCCCTGGCGCGTTTCCTAGAAAAGGCCGCTTCCTTTACTTTCTTCTCTGCATTATCTCTGGCCGAAGCGGCTGCAGCACTCATCGAAGTTGCCGCAATCCTAGATGCAGCAAATAAAATCCTTGCCGCACTTTTATCAATGACCCTACAGTGGTCACTACTCCCAGTCTTACCATCCGCATTAGGGACTTTCCTAAGGGTGAATACATCGGAATCAGGGGAAACGCATAGGGGGCATCGGTAAGGGTTGGGTGGGGTGTGGCCCACGCACTGGGTGTGGGAGTTGGAGTGACAATCGACGCAGCTGACGACGTCTTTTTGAAATGAACGAGGCTGGGAAGGTATGTAGACGGTGAAGCAGGTGGGGCAGAAGAACTGTGGGTGGAGTTGGAGGACGCAGGTGCTGCAGACCTTCATGAGATGGCCCTCGTGGCGGACGCCGTGGAGCACAAGCCGCTCCGCCTTCCTGCAACGGTCGCATACGGTGGTGCTAGAGAAGGCGGCGACGGCGCCGTTAGATGAAAACTCTTGTCTCATCATCTCGCTTCTATCGCTCTATACGAAGATCGAACACTCGGAAATTGCGATCGCATTCATCCATAAACAGGCTTAGGTTTCAGAAATCGCCATCAAGCAATGGATTTCCTTCCCTTTTCTATGAACGATTTGGCGAACGGCGGTAGGGTTCCGACGAATCGCATCCGGGGCGGGGAGAGCGAAAATTAGGGTTTCGGGGGCCGCACGGAGAGCCGGGGAGGGAAGAAGACGGTAGTTGATTGGTTGGTTTCCTATTAAGAGCAGACCAGGTTCAAAATTGTACTCAAATACGGACTACAATGTTGTGACAAAAATAACTTACTCTTTTTTTCTCCCCTTCTAAATCATTTTCAACTCCTCCAAATATGTTCAACTTGTGGGTGCAATTGAAGGGGATGGAGAGTGTATTTGGGTTGAGGCCAGGCCAGGGGTGTGTTCGAGTTGGGGCCGGGTGGGGAGTTACCGGGGGGTTAGGTAAGAACCGTCAATTTTACGAACGAGGCACCGGAGTGTCCCTGGGTCATCCCATGACATTGCCCTTCAATGTCACTTGAACCTTGGTGGTTTGACATTATATTCACACTTATTTTTTGGGCTTTACCTTATGATATTTTGGTATTGTAGTTGTGTAATTTACACTAAGGTAATTGACTGTTCAGCAACAAAATACAAAATTTATAACAATGAAATCAACATTGTCAAATACACTAATTTTTTTTATTTGAATTTGATTTTTTTCTAATGTAATGGTGTAATTATTGTTTTTGAAATTAAAATAATAAGTCCCCCGTGATCCAATTAATATTAATATTCCATAAATCATCGGGCTTTCGGGCGTTCATAAGTAACTCGACTCAAGTCCACCTCTGACTGCAATTGATGGAGTATTTTTTTTAGTAATTTGAATTTTTGATGGAATAGTTTAATATTGTGTGTTTTCTTCAAAAGTAAAAATGACTAGAGTTTTTTTTATTTTTATTTTTTAATTCTTAAAGATCTTTTTGCCACTAATATTTGAAATAGATGCAGAGTAAACAGAAAAGCACCCACATACAATTGAAACAAAACACCCAAATTGTGGGAAACATTGTATTCTCATATTTGAAAAATGAACTATCACAGCAGAATGAATAGATCTAATTTTTGTTATCGATAGTAAAAGAAGAAAAGAAGACTTATTGCCACCGAAAATAGGAGAGGATAATGCCACAATTGTTTAGAACTTATTTTTCACATGTTAATTTTTAGCTTATTGGTACATGTGATTTAAATTTTATTTACCAATTCGATTAATTTTCCGTACATAAATCATTTGTAGCTATGCAGTTTTGAGAGGGATATTATCTATCAATTATCTATCATGTGGCTATCATTTTCTGTACATAAATCTTTTGTAGTCATGCAGTTTTGAGAGGAACATTATTTGTCATGTGGGTTGTGGCTAGCATCTCATCAAGGGTTTCATGACCTTTAAGCCTGATACCGAAGGCGCACCCCGATCCACTTACATTGGGACCCCGTTCGGAAATGATCCAGCGGTAGGTATGTTTGAGATAGCTAGCATCGGAAGATGAAAGTTCAATCCTCGATGGTGTAATGCATAAAGCCTCCCTTATTTTTTTAAAAAATTAGTTACTACCCATGTCCTTGAATATGTGTCTAGTTTTGACTTTTTCATTCAATTATTAACTTTGACGTATAATTAAATAAAATATATATTGTATATCTATTAGATAAAATGATATTTTAAAAATATTTTATGTAATAAATGTAACAAAACTTTTTTTTGTATTAATATTTTTTATTATTTTTATTTAATTTAAGATTAAATTTTACCAATTTTGATCAAAAAAATTAAAAATAGATAAATTCGGCGAGTAAAAAAACAGGAAGAGGATGATACGGGATTAATTATTATTATTATTATTATTATTATTACTATTATTAATGGTTAGTGGTTATTATTATTATATTAGGTAGTATTATTATTTATGGTTAGTTAATTATATTATTATTAGAAAGTAATATTCTATTGTTAGGATATTTGTTACCATTTATTATTAGGATTCCTAGATTATTTAGTTTCCTTCTATGGTAAGGATTCTTTAGATGTCCTAGCTATAAATGTATCCATTTCAATGAATTATTTATCATTGAATAAAGAAATTACTTTCTCCTAAACCTTAATCTNTTATTAATGGTTAGTGGTTATTATTATTATATTAGGTAGTATTATTATTTATGGTTAGTTAATTATATTATTATTAGAAAGTAATATTCTATTGTTAGGATATTTGTTACCATTTATTATTAGGATTCCTAGATTATTTAGTTTCCTTCTATGGTAAGGATTCTTTAGATGTCCTAGCTATAAATGTATCCATTTCAATGAATTATTTATCATTGAATAAAGAAATTACTTTCTCCTAAACCTTAATCTCTCTCTTTCTCGCCTCTTTTGTTCTTGGAGATCGAAGGTGCTCGAAATCCTTCCCTATCCCGATACGATACCGTATCAGAGAATGACTGGTTGGAAGAGAGAGGGGTGTAGAATGGCGCTATGAAAGAGCATGAAGCCCATTAGGGACGGCCTTATTGTTAGAATTACCAAATCGATATTGATAAAAAAATGTCATCGAATTGAGAAATAATCCAATGTCATCGAGTTTTAGTCAAACCAACAGATTATGATCTTTACTTTTTAATTCGTATCAAGTTTAAGTTCAGTTTTTACCAAGTTTTATTATACTCCGCAGTATAATTGAAGGTTCTAGTCATTCATCTGTGTAACCAGTTGCATGTTCACAACTCACAAGCACTACAACCATTTTTATGGAGTTGAGAGGTGGTAGACCAAAAAGTAACTATAACTATTACGGACTAATAAATTTTAAATTTAGCCATTAAGGCATTGAGAATAACCTTAAATTTTAAAATTCAAAAATCTAAATTAGAAAATAGAAATTGATCTTTTGGAATATTGATATAGAGAAAATTAGAACTTAGAAGAAACTGAGTTAAACAATTAAGCAGACAAAGAAATGAAAATTAGTAAAAATCTCGCATAAATATAACTTTCCTTACGTATAAATCCTAAAAAAGATGACAAATGTGAGCATGTAAATAGTGTAAATTTTGGCGGTTACATTTATTTTAAAACAAAAAAAAACACGAAGCTATGAACAACACTATCTCAATTGGAAAACCTACGGTGGTCCGTTCGTAAAATTGATAGTTCATACCGTCTAACCCTCCAATAATCCCCCCCCACCCATCCAATCCCAACCCCAACCTATCTCCCCGATCGCGTCAATTGCACCTCGTAAGTTATGTTGACTTCAAAGTCAATTAAACTTGCGAAGTGTAATCAAACGTGGTTGAGGGTTGGGTTGGGGCCGAGATGGGGGAGATAAGAACTATCAATTTTACGAACGAAGCATTATAGGTGTCCCAAATTGGGACATTGTCCTCTGTGACCACTCCTTTTGAGTGGCTGTAGAACCCAGCTATAAAACGAATATGTGAAAAGAGTAGGGAAAAGGAAAGCCAGGGAAGAGGCAGTGCACGGGAAGGGTGGCAACCCTTGAAGCCGAATGACCCATCTCATGCTCTACCTCGTCCCCGTCTACCCTCACTCCCACCTTCAATACTTACATTTTGTATGACCTCAATCAAAAAATTATATGCCTCTTGATGATCCTTTAGTTGTCAATAAAAAACAATAAATTCGTCTTCAACTACAAGTGTGAAGGGATCCCACTTTAAATAGATGGAATATGAAATGGTATGGTCGTATAGAGCAGTACAAATTATAGTACGCACCTAAATGGTGTCAATAGTTGGAGAGTGGGAGTACACTTGTACTAATGGATGGAGTACTCAATTGTACTACTAGCAAAGAACATTTTTATCAATTAACAATGCCCTTGGTGCTTTTTGGATCATGCTAGAAACCCATTACGGTTGCTCTTCATGGATGACAATCACAGATAATTTTATACATACACAGACGACAATCATCTGTGTTCACAAAAGATTATCGTCTCTGTATGTATGAATCATCTATAGTCATCCGTGAAGGCACTCGTGGTGGATTCCTAGTATTTTTGGTACATTTATATGGTTGTTTTAAGTGACAAAATAGTAATTTTTTTCCCTACTTCTTTGGTGTGAATGATCAATAAACCACCAAGTTATGACCTGCGGCCCCGTGTGACGGGAGTGGTAAGTGATTGAGGAGTAGAGCGAGAGAGTAGTACGGTAGCACAAAGCACAACAACACTTCTATTACAACGGTCAAGACCTATCCGTGGACCTTACGCGGGATTCAAGAAAGAAAAGTGGTAGAAAATGCAGGTTAAAAATGATTCTTATCAATGAAACATTCAAACTTGTGAGTTGAAAATTGGATCTGATGTGGTAGGATGGAAATGATGATATCTTTATAAGATGACATTATTAAAACTGTCTATGAACTCAAATCATTCGAAATGAAGCAAAAAAAAATAAAAATTAAGCTCCTGAAACAAACAAGGCAGTGATAGTTAACAGCAAACATACCCACAGTAGACAACAACACTATCCTTTTTTGTCATAGGCAGATATGTTTTGGGGTTCACATTCCGGGCTAAAGAGGCGAACCAGAAATGCGGTTGTAGAACTCATAGAGACCGCCCCACAAGCTGCCCATCTAAGACTTCGAGGAACGTTAATCCTCGGGCCTGCACACAATAACCGTTCACAGTATGAATCACAATTCTTCGACATATAACATTGGTCTAATCAAATTTGCACATAAACGCTGCAACAATCAACAGTTTCATAAGCCAATTTGTTGTTGTTGTTGTTGTGATTTTGCATTAGAAAAAGTAACAAACAAGTTCAAAACAATGGTTTGAAAAGTGTAAGTAGGACTCTACAACTTTCCGAAGTTTCTAGGGGGCGAAAAGGGGGTAAAAGACACACCGTAGTGCAAACGACACAGAACCCAAAAGCCTAAAGCTCCTCCAAATGAGAATATCCCAGCCGTATGTCGCATCAGTCGGGAACATGGCTTACAATCTGATCTCATGACCTCCCCATCAGAAAATCCACACAACTGCCGCAACGCCATGCTTTTCACCCTAGGCCTGACTTGGAACGAAGATTAATTTAAATATATGGACTGGGAAGAAGGAGCCTGATTTAAATCACAGGTAAACATCACTTTGACTCAACTCCAATACCACTTCAACCCATGTCCATTCTAAAAATAATCCTTATATAGAAAATTGGTATGCCAAATGTGAGTGTAATTCACAATGTCAAGCTCCAAATTGGCAATGGATGTCTGAATGCCTGGTGTATGAGTTATGTGAGTTTCACTTATTTGTTTTTTGCTATTATTTTTTGGGCATTGTATAACTACTTTCTTCATTGACATCCACCAAACTTTCTATAAATTATTTTAAATTTTTAGAGAAAAAAGACTAAAGCAGGAGCAAAATATTGAAAATATGCCAAAATAGGAGTTCCTTTTTATTTTTGAAATAGGAGTTAAAATGCATTCACAGTGCCAATAATGACCATATACATTACCAAAAAGTATTGTGAAATGTCCATATACAGTACCACATTACTACAATGCGAGCTTGATGAAAATATGAAATTCCTATTTTGGTACTTTCTCTATGTTTTACTCCTATTTACACTATGTTTGGCTTAAGGAATCTGGAAGAATAAGAAAAGAAAATGATTTTCTCTCATTTTCCTCGCCAAAATGGGAGGAATTTGTTTTCCCCTCCACTTAGTACATTTGTCTTCTCATTTTCTTTTCCTTCACTTTTCTTTTCTTTTTTGCTATGTTTGGTTCAAAGATTTTAAAAGTAAAAGAAAAGAAAATAATTTTCTCTCATTTTTCTCACGGTCTCACCAAGATGAGAGGAATTTGGTTTTTCTTTTTCTTAGTACATTTTGCTTTCTCATTATCTTTTCCTCCCTAACCAAACATGAAAAATTATTTTCCCTCTCTTTTTCTTTGAACTAAACATAGTGTTCGTCTCTAACCAAACAAGAAAAACTGTTTTCCACTTCATTTTCTTTTTCTTTCCCTTTTAAATTCTTTGAACCAAATATAGGGTGAATTCTTAAATTTTTAATCCTTTGTTCATTCCAAAATGCTAATAGAACACAATTCCCCCACGTAATTGATAAGATTTACACGAAATTAAACCTAGCATTAAAAAATAGACATTTATTATGTAATTTTTTTCTTAAAAGCCCTAAAATAGTGTAAAATTCATTCGAAATTAAAATAATTTACATATAATTACTCCCTATTTGGTATGTGAAGTGTTTTTGCACTGACACCCAATACTATGGTATGGAGGAATAAGAGCGTGGGTCGGACTTTCGCCCGCCCCCATTGGGGCGAGGAGCTGCAATAGACGGCGTCGCGCGCCCTCGCCAACGCCACAGGACCGGGCATTCACCCGGCGCGAAGCCGGACGACCCCTCCCCCTGCAGTCGAACTCCGCCGCGCGCCGCGCCTCTCCTAGCGGCGCGGCGGAAATCCCCAATTCCCATTGTAAGTGCCCTAACAAAAAACATACCTGTGAAGCCTCGTGATTACCCGGCTGTTAAGAGATCTGAAGAAGGGACGGAGGTCTGGGCTTTGCTCCTTTTGGGTTTCCTGCCACTTTCAAGTTCAATTTGGGATTCAACTGGTTTTTTTAGGGGAAAATGTTCAAAAATGACTCCATTCGGATAACAAAGACTTTTTTTTTAAAACTTCCCATATCAGTTTATTTAAAGAATGATACAAAATTTTAAAATAGTACTCCGTAAAATATATCAAACCATCTAAAAAATATAAAAACATGAGGTTATATAACCCGATTATTTTAACTAATGATTCATAAACATAAGTAAAAAGAGAAGAAAAGGTTTGACCAATGAATAATAAAACACGACGACAATGTTTGAAAGAGTAATTGGCTAAAAGATGTATGGAGTACTTTCAATTTACTACTCGAACGTATTTACCCAAGTATGAAATTTGGAATTATTCTTCACATTGGGATTTTCCCGACATATGTAAATGAGTCGTGCTTGAATAAAACTACAGTTGACATCACGGATGAAAATCGCGTGTAAAAATGTACACACACAGATGATAATCGTATGTGAACACACAAGGTTCACAGATGTTTTGTGTGTACAAATTTATACACCATTGTCGTCTCTTCCTCTTCGACACAATTAGGGGCTGCCACCCACACCCTTAGACACCCAGCAACTTGTGGCAGTTCCAGATCTTGCTATAAAATTTGTAAGACGTTGGGCAAGCGTGCACTTCTCACTTCCGAACTCCTTAATAATGTTTTTAAAAATTTGATCTCGTCCATTCTGTGTAGATTCAATTATATAAAATAGTCGATGAAACTAATATCACCAAGAGATTCTAGATGAGACGCTTACCAAATTTCAAATCCCAACGAGAATGTTGAAAGAACAAATTAAAACAACAATGTGCAAAGTTGAGATTTTCTTTCAACACAGCCCAAATTCCCAACTACGCATTTGTTTTGCCGTCTTACTCCCACTTATATCTTCATAGAGTAATTTTGTTAAATACTACCTCCGTCCCGCTATATTCGTCCACATTTGATTTTTGGACTGTTCATCTAAGCACTTTGACTCATCAAATTCTCTCAATGTGTAAGTCTAAATATATTCATCTGTAATCTTGTTTGATTTGTCTTAACATGCAGATTATTAATATATAATTTCTATAATTTTTTAATATACAAATTACAAGATAAAATGGATTAAAGAAGTGTATTGGATGGTGTGTAAAAATGAAAGTGGACAAATACTCTAGGACGGAGGGAGTAAAAGTATTTACCTCAGCTTCGCAGTAAGACAGCGTTCCGTCCAACTTTTTTTTGCTTATTACTTATTCTTATTATAATCATATCTTACCAGAACAAAAACAACTTTATTTATAACTGCAATCAGATCAAATCAAATCAGATCAAATATTCAAAAATCAAATGAGATCAGATCAGGCGAACAAAACACAGCCTAAAAGAGTAACTTTTTACAATAAATCAAACTTAAGTTCAAATATGAATTTATGACTTAATAAAATTTGAATCAAATATAATAAGAATAAATAAGAATATTTTTTTTTGTATTACCGGTACATCTGCAAACTTGCTAACCACATATTTGGTCAGGAAAAGCACAGTTAAATTAAAATGGATGAAAATGGATTTGTGTAGTTAAAGTTGTACAACAATATTCATATAGTTAGTTATCCCAATTCCCAAATGCCAAACAGAGCCTTAACATCCCTCCCCTCTACTCATCATCACTTTCATTGCCAAATGCTGATGCAACAGATACTTTCTGTTTCTTTGCCATGTTCCCAACCATCTTCTGCCCAAAACAAAAAACCCAAAATTCACGGAATTATTATAATTTATCGACAAACGACAACGAACCCAGTAAAAAATAGAACCATACTTTAATTTAAAAACTTGGAACTCTGAAGAATAAAAATAAATACCTTCGATTGGCTGCCTTTTGCAGAAAATCCAAACTTCAAAGTCTTCCTCTGATCTTGATCAGCAAGGGCGGTTGCAGTTCTCATTACATGGGAGGCCTGAATGGTCTCTTCTTTCTCTTGCTGCTTCTTATTGACACCGGCCCTAGTTATATATACAAAGAAAACGAGCATCGAGAATCAATAAATGACTAAGGGCGTGTTTGGTAACTGGTGCTTGACTAAATGACATACTCTACTGAGTTTTCTAAAGCGAAATCATTTGGGAACCATCTATTGCAGCCAAATAAGAAGGTCAGAAACTCAATACGCAGATTGAGGTTGCCAAATGAAGCCTATGTAGTTCCTCCATCCCAAGAAAACAAAAGCTTCTCTTTACGGTTTACGATGTTTGACTGAAAGTTATTTTCAATTCAATTTGATTAATAATTGGTATAAAGCTAAAAAATGAAATATACACATTTTAAAACTATATCAAAAGTTTCACAAAACAAGAGGTGACATGACTATCATTTTTTTATCAAACGAGTAATGTAAATAAGCAAATAAAAATGATACTGTGACTTTTTTTGGATGGAGGGAGGATATATAATTATCCAAGAAAAGAGAAAAACTTGGAAGAGAAATTTATAAAATCACTTGAAACTCTAAGATGGGTAGAAAAGGAATACATTTGAGCAAACTTAGCCATCTCTCTCTCTTGACGTTGCTGCTCACGTTTTTGTCTATCATCGCGACTGCTACTTTCGTGCATTTCTCTCATTTCTTTGAAGCGCTGCATGTAAAGATGCAAATATGTTTACTATCCAATGAAACGCGGACAATAACATGATGCGATCAACTAAATACTACACTTGCCTTTCTATGGTTGTGATCGTACGAGCTAAGGTGAGCTTCAAACTCCATAGCCAATTTATATTGCTTGTTGCAAAGGTCACAAAAGAAAACCTTGTGTATTTCCTTCACCTCAGTCTGAATTTTGTGCTCTCTTTCGGCTAAAACCTGGATTTTCATAATGTGCAGGAAGGAAGCAAGGCAGTAGAAGGCCACCAGGGTAATAAAAACTGCACGAAATTCTCAAGACCCTTCCAAACTTGATGTTCGGTACTTGATTTACCGTTCCCGTCAAAAGACACACACATATATATGCTATATGCTGCCTTCTGTTATTAGATGTATGTTTCACAAAAAGTAAAAGATCAAACTCGATTTTTTCTACCATGCAGCAACATATTTATTTACCCTTACGGCATGTTTGGGAACTAGAATTTGGATTTCAAATCCGGATTTGGCTCAAACTTCATGTTAGGCAATCTTAAATATTTGAATTTTAAACAAATTCTTCTAATTCATCACAAAGCTGAATTCCAATTCCATACGCCTCCCTTGTCATTTGAAATTCAAGAATTCAAAATTTGGAATTGAAATGCAGAAATTGAAATGGAATACTAGTTCCCAAACACTACCTTACAGATATTGATGTTATATATAAAGCCATACCTCCCGTTTCTTTGCAAGTTCTTCAGTCTCCTCAACCTCGATTTCAAGCTTTCTTCTCTGGATGTTTTCTTCTGATGTAAAGAAATCATCTTCCTCTTGCTTTCCAATCCCTAGTTTTGCATCTCGTATTCCAGACTTTATTGGCTCAATGATACCTTCAAACACCATATAGTTAAATAAAAAAATCATACACAAAAGGTATCCCAACATAAAAGTGGGAATTGAGTCGAACGAGCATAAGGATATAAATTAATGCTTCACACGTCATATGGGTAAGAGTAATACCCTGTTCATCCTTTCCAAGCCCCTTCCCCTTCCACCCCATTTTCTGGAGAAGCTTGAACCCAACATTTGACGATGTCAATTGTTTGTCTAATGATGCTTGCTCAACATTTTCTAAATCCAAATTTTCTGTTGGTCTGTGTCCGATTGGTAGCCGAAAGTCTTCTATAAGATCCTCAAGAATAGAAGCCTCATCTTCCTATGAGAAGACGAGTAAAGTTTTATGTCATGACGAAAATTGGAAACATTTTTAATATCCTTAAAACTGCCTAACCATAATATATGTGTTGAGTCCAAGCATGACACGACATTTAGAGTGTAAACACTAAACAGGTTCACCAGCATTGGAAAGCATAAAAGTATATACTAGACCAAAATATTCACTCAAGACCAAAAAGATTTAGAGCAGAAGTGGCAAGGTGTTATATTTCAATTTTCAATCAAGAAAGTTAGAGAAGTTCATAAACATCGAGACCATACCAGAAATATTAAAACAAGATTAGATCCTCAAATACCATAATTCATCAACCCTAAACTGCCTAAAGTAATGCTTGTAGAATACAAAGAAAATATAGTGATACTTCTTGAATAAAAAACCAAATCATAAATTATAAAAAATAGAAACCAAGAAAAATGTATATTAACCTCATTATGCTGCTGGTTAGGATGATGGATCCCTGTTTGACCATCAAACCATCTATTGTTCATTTGCTTATCGTCCCGAATAACAACTAAACAAATAACCAACACCCAAACAATTAACTTCCTAGAAACTGGCAAAGTCCAATCCAGAAAGAATAAACAAAGGATATCAGCAATCCAACGACAAGATCCATTTTCAAGGAAAAACTTGTATAGTTCTTCACTTTCTGTTTTGTTGGCATCCAGATTCAATTGTCCACTCACAATATTTTTATGCACAAATCATTGGGAAATATAGAAAATAGTCCTCAAACAACATATCAGCATTGTTGCCATTAATGAAGAATAAGCCAATTCAAAAGATGTTTTTTGTTGTTTTACATTCATTCTTTGAATTTGATATATACTATAAAGCAGACAACTAAATCCGGGCAGAGGTAGTAATAGATTTCAGACAAAGTAGTTCCTTCTGTCCCAAAATGAAATTTTCGGATCGGTTTAAATTCAATTCAATCTATTTTAAAATTGATGTAAAACTAAAAAATTATACACACACACACACACACATAAACTACTTTAAAAAATCCTGTAAATAGTGAACAGAACTTATTAGACGGAGGGAATACATTCAAAGAGTCTAGTAAAATCGAAACATTCAAAGAGACGCCAAAAACTGCAAAGAACTACAGCTATTTCCTGTTTAAACCCGATTTATATTCGGGTTTTTTGGGTTCAAGAAAATCGAAATCGATGAAGAATCAAAGAGAGAAATTGAATATATTCGTATTTGTGATGATAAGCAAAGAAATTACCAGGGTATGATTATGAAGCTTAGAGGAGAGATCAGGTGGAAGGCAGAGTTTTGACCCGACGGGAACAGAGGTCAAGAAATCAAGAATCTCGGATTATAATGAACTAATCTGGATGTAAAGAAACCGGGTAGCGGCCGTAAACGGGTTCGGACTTTGGATGGTGGGATTCCTTTTACGCCCAAAACCACCTATCTTGCTCGAGCACAACCACAATTGTGTTTTGCACTGGGAAAGAACCGGGTATATCATAGGTATATCCCGTAGAGAGAGACACAAAAATTAATTGTATATGGGAAACATAGATAATTGATGTCTGTATGCTTGTGTGACAACTTGATTACTCCTAACACTATAGTTTGACAATTTACATTATTATAAGATATATCGATATGAAATTTTGTGATTGTATAGATAATGATGTAAATCATCTCAACCAGAGTATCGTTCTTAGTCGGTCAATAATGATAAATTAGTCTAGCAAAACATACTAAATTACAACAAAGTGAAATTTGCATTAAATAAGACTAAAACATAATGACTTTCCTAATGTAGGACTTGAACTTTTTTATTCCCTAAATGGGACTTAATAATGACCTAGTGGAATGAATAATGTCCAGTAATGATGGACATTTAGTTGAATAATGACTACTTGATAATGACCAAAAGTCCTATATTGGGAAATAAAAACATATAGTTCTATATTAGGAAAGTCATTATGTTTTAGTCTTATTTAAGTAAATTTCTCAATTACAAATACATGGATTTTAACGTTGAAATCCAATTGGGAAAAAAATACAGACCTTATTTGGCGATATCTTGCCAATGGGAATTTTTTATTAATATTGAAGATTGTACACATTACATCATTTGGGCTTAGAAGCCATTAAGAGATGGAGAGAAAGTGTGCAGAAGAGTAGGAGGGGAGAGTTTGTACGAGAATTGGCTTCCCCGCCCCTTGGTGTGATGATCCATTATCAGGGAAATGGATGCATGCACATCACCGTGAGGAGGGAACCGGGCCACATGACAGCATGTGATCTTCATGTGAAGATGTCTTTCAGATCCTAAGGGAAATGGATGCATGTTGTTCCAATAAATTCTTTTGTCTGTCTTCAAATAATTTATCCAACTTAATTGATCCTCATAATTACTTGGGAAATTTGACTCTGGTCAAATATTATTTCTCATCAATAGACATTTTAACGATTGCGCTATCAAAGTAGCGGTGTAACATTTTATCCCTTTATTTGGTAATAATAATTTGTGATTATCAATCGTGAACCCCCGTGTCTAGTTTCTAGCATTTTTGTTCTTTAGTACACAACATTTCTTCCATATTCACTTTCATTGTCTCTAACTTAATAGGGAGGTTGTTTCAACTTAGGTTGTTTATGTACTTATGATTATTAGCTTGTTGTTGATGATTAGTTTTTTTAATTTATGTGTCGTCTATTGCAATAGTTTTTAGATTAAGTATTTAAAATAATCTTTCTAATACAATGTTTTTCTTAATCAATCCTGAATAAGGAATAGTTACATACGTGAGAAGTACTTTATGTCGTTATACTTGAGATTTATTTCATCAATAGTCCCCCATTAAAATATGTATTGTATGGCTATTAACTGAAAGTACTTTGGTATTTTTCATCATCTAAACTTAGAGTACATTTTTAAAATAATTCTTTCTAAATGAGAGAGTATATGCAATTCAAAAATTTTAAAAATATTGATAAATTTTTAATAATCCAAGAATTATGTAAAGTCAACATTTTATAATCTATATCAACATTTTTTTAGATTATTAAAGTCCATATATTGTTCAAACATCAATGAGTGATTATAAAAAAAATTGAAATAATAAAAAATTGTGAATGTAAAAAAACACGAAGTAATATAATTAGAGGAATTTACTTAAATAGCACTAAAACATAATGACTTTACCTAAATAGCATCACATGTGTTTTTCTTCCCAATGTAGCACTTTTAGTCATTATGCATTAGTCATTATTCAAGCAAATATTCGCTATCACTGGATATTATGGACATTATTAAGTGCTATTTAGAGAATAAAACAGTTTAAGTGATATTTCGGGAAATAACTTAAGTTTTAGTGCTATTTAGTGCAAATATTTCTAAAGGATATTATGTTCTTGTTTTAGTAATTAATTAATAGACTTAAATTATTATCTCAGACCGGATTAGAATATAAAAGTATATTTGATTTATCTAATTTAATCAAATTCTGTAGTAGACCTAAAGTCCACCATGGACCTACCTATAAACAAAATAAACATTTATTTACTTTTTAAATAAGTATTTGTTTTGTTTAAATAAAAAAAAGTTTTTTTTACGTAAAAAGATCCACATAAATAATATGCACCCAAAGTGCACCAAAGTGTTGGACAATGTGCTATCATGAATATATATTTTTGCAATGTCTTTTGCCCATTGTCTTTTAGGTTTTGATAATGAAAAAAGAGTGACATAATATCATCATCATATTGTGCATCAAGGCTAAGAATCAAAGCTACAACAAGTTCATATCCGTCCGTGAAGAAGGGACTTGAGCATCGGTGGAAGGAACGAGACCAAAGAGGTTGTTTCCTTAGTTGGGTAGTGTTTTAGGTCTTAGATTTTGTGTTAAAGAGTATGGCATCTCTAAGGTTCATTCCTTATCATCCTACCTTTAAAACACATTTTTTTCAGCAAACTATTCGAATAAGTTGAAAACTATTCGAATAAATCCCTGAACTTCTATTCTGACTTAGTTGAATAAATCCATAACTAGTTGAATAAGTTAGATTGCAGTTTCACCAAAACTAGTCGACTAAGTCTTGACTTAGTCGAATAGTTCGGCAGTTTCAACTCTTAAACTGCCATTTTTTTCAAATCTTTGGGTAGTTACTCCGTCCTATCCTTTTTTAAACTACTCTATCTCGTGTTTTTTGCCAAGAATATACATTGAAAATTCTTCAAAAACATATCCTTTGAATATCCAAAGAGTTCTACTCAATCCCCTCCTTATATCCAAGCAAGGCAATTGTTTTTTATTGCTAAATCATTTCTTGCTTGAGTTTTTCCTCATTGCTTGAGTCTTTGAGAGATATTGCCATATTCTAAAGGACTTCATTGTATTTGAAACAATCTACTCCGTGTTGGGAGAACTACTCGGTTGCGGTTTGTTTTCTTACTTTATTGTAAGGGATTTGTATTCCTGGTGTTGGGATTACACCAAGTGGTAGAAATCCTAACGGTTTGTGAAATCAAACGTTAGGTGGAAGAAATCCTGAGTTTTGTGAAATCAAAACTTCGGTGGTAAGATAAGAGGCTTGTGAAATCAAGTTCTCGAGTTGTATTTGGATTGTCAAACTCCGTTAAGTTTTACGGGTTAGTGAAGGCCTGAGCACGATTGCTTCGAGGACTGGATGTTGGCATTTAGGCCAAACCAGTATATATCGTGTGTGCATTGATCTTATCCTTCACTTTATTTTGTTTGTGGTGCATTGTTTTTTGTTGAATATTCGTGAAGAACGTTTCCGCGCAAACAAAACTGGTCTTTTGGGCAACACCTCTATTCACCCCCCTCCTCTAGAGGTGTGCGAGGCGTCTAACACAAAGAACAACTCCCAATTTACACTATCAGTCATTAACATGCTCTTGATCATAGCTAGGGGTGCTCATTCGGTAAAACCATACTGAACCAAACCAAAATTTTGGTAAAATAACTTTTGTGCCGAATCCCAAATCGTACCATAATAAATCGGTTCGTATGGGAATTGATAATACCGAAAAAATTGAACATTTCATCTTATTTTCATCTATAGTTCATTTTCTTTATTCTCAATTTATATCAGTAGCCATCTTATTCAAAATTTGAAGAAATTAGAAATAGGCAGGGGTGGTTGTTGCTGGGGCAGTGTTGGGGGCGGTGCCGGGGGTTTCTTCTGCTTGTCGGTGTTTTGTTGATGCTGCTTTTGCGCCTAATAGTGGTAGGGTTGCTTTCGGGTGTGCTCTATTTTCTCCGTCGAACTGTTTTCTTGCTGCTATTAATGGGGAATTACTGTGTTCTCCGGACCCTCTTATGGCGGAGGCTATGGCGTGTCGTGAAGCTCTATCATGGATCAAGACGCTTGATATTCATAACGTGGAGATCTTGATGGATTGTCAACCTGTGGTTTCAGCAATTTCAGATACTTCATTCTCTCTTACTTCTTTTTTTGGTTCGTTAATTATTGAATGTAAGGCGTTGTTGGTCGGTTTTTGCTCTATTTCTATCAATTTTGTTCGTAGAGAGTTAAACGTTGTTGCTCATTCTCTTGCGAGGAGAGCAGAGGCCCGTCGTTCTGTTTGGGTTTCTACTCCCCCGGATTTTGTAATCCCTCTTTTACAATAATGAAGTTTCTTTACTTTCAAAAAAAATAACTAAAAGTGCTAATTATGTTCAAATATCATCTCCAAAATAAAAAAAAATTCTAAGGATGACACAAATAATTTTTTACAGAGATGAAAAAAATAAAAATCATTTATTTTACTATGATTGAAAACATATTTAACCATACATTAATTTTATTACGTACATATTCTAAATGAGTTGTACTCTTATGATATTTAGATCCACATGTGTTGCATCAACGAATTAAAAGTGCTAGTCATGTTCAAATATAATCTCCAAAATAAAAAAAATCTAAGGAACTATTAATTATTTCTTTAGATACATTATATTTTGATTGAATGTGAACAAACATTAAGGCTCCGTTCCGTTCAACTTATTTTTTCTGATCTGATCTGATTCTAATAAGTTCTGATCTGGTTTGGTCTGATCTGATTGGATCTGATCTGATTTGATCTGATTGGATCTGATCTGATCTGATTGGATCTGATCTGATCTGATTGAATCTGATCTGATCTGATTGGATCTGATCTGATCTGATTGGATCTGATCTGATCTGATTAATTATGATTTAATTTAAAATTTTAAATCAATAATTTAATTTGACTTTATAATAACGTTTGAAAATTGTAATGATAATTCATATTATAATATAATCAACATTTTTTATTTAATGATTATTTTTTAATAAAATAAAAATAGTCAATTCATATATTAGAATAATCAATTATATTATAATGTAATAATATTTTTATTTTATGATTATTTTTTTGTAAAATTAGAANAGTAGCAATAAAAATATATTTTAAAAGTAGAATTAGATTGACAATGTAATAATGATGATGATGATGATGATGATGATGATAATAATGATAATGATGATGATGATGATAATAATAATAATAATAATAATAATAATAATAATAATAATAATAATAATAATAATAATAATAATAATTCTTGATGGGATCTGATTTTAATAAGTCCTGATCTGATCTGATCTGATTGGATCTGATCTAATCTGATTGGATCTGATCTGATCTGATTGGACCTGATCTGATCTGATTGGATCTGATCTGATCTGATCTGATTAAATCTGATCTGATCTGATTGGATCTGATCTGATCTGATCTGATCTGGTCTGATCTGATCTGATCTGATCTGATTTTAATAAGAATAAGAAAAAATAAGAAAAAATAAGTTGAACGGAACGGGGCCTAAGTCTACATTAATTTGATATATCTAGAAAGTCATAATAAATGATTAATTAAGAATACAAGGAGTGACAACAAAATCAGTATTTGCATAATTTTCAAATAAGTTTATTACACCAATTTCGTATGGTACATACATTAAAGAGTAAATTCCATAAAAGGTCTCCAGTTATAGGTCGTTTTACATATTTAGTCCTTACATATCAAATATTACTAACCCCAATTATTATATTCATTTCCACGAATGATCCTTTGTTAACATTTCCATTAAGAACGTGGATAAAATTGTATATTCATACTTCTCTCTCTCCTCAGTTAAGCTTCCTCCCTCCTCTCGTACTTTTTTTCTAACTCGTCGCTGAGTTTGAAGCTATAAACTCAAAACTGAAATGATCATTGCTCTCTCAATTTATTAGTCTTCCTGGTGGAACCTAAAATCAAAACCAATAAGCTTTATGGATGAGTTTTATTGGTTAGTCTCAAGAAATTAGAAAGCAAATAAACATTAAAACTCATCAATGAAGGTTAAAAGTTTCGAATTTGGGTTCTACCAGTTAGACAAACAATTGAGAGAAGAGTGATGATGTCGGTTTTGAGTTCAAAACTTCAAACTCAGCAACGGGTTTGGGAAAGGAGTGCGAGGGGATGGAAGAAGCTTAATTGAGGAGAGAAAGAAGTGTGAATTTACAATTTTATCTACGTTCTTAACGGAAATGTTAACAAAAGACCATTCGTGGAAATGAATATAATAATTGGGGACTAAATTAGTAATATTTGATATGTAGAGATTAAATATGTAAAACGACCTATAACTGGTGACCTTTTATGGAATTTACTCTACATTAAATATGTGCAAAAAATAATTGTGTAAAATGATTATTTATAAATCTAGACACTGGTTGTATTGTAAATACTAAATACACCCCCATTCTCATAAAACTGGATTTCAATATAATGGATGGTTCCTATCACTTAACTCTTTCGAAAACCCCCACCCGGTCTTACCCGGATCCCACCTCAATCGCATCTCCTAATTTAGTTGATTATGGCATTGAAAAATTGATCTCGAAATCTACTAAATTTAAGGGCTCCAATTGCAGTAGGTGGAGAATGAATTCGGGTCGGACCGCGTAGGATTTTTCAGAATGATTAAAAGGATAGGAACTCTTAATTTTTTAAATAACAATATAACACTATAAACACCTCAATTAGAGCCAATATCATCCCACAAAAACATTGTCGCCAATTAGAACGTACACTTGTCGCATGCCCGGCCTCGGAAAATGAAAAAATGAAATTGGACCGTCCGAAATTTTCATTTTGGACACTAATTCATTATTTTAGAATACTTATGCTTCAAAATTAATGATGAATTTAAAAATATGAGGGTCTAAAATTTAGAGGCGGTTGACCACTTTATAACCCTCCGGACCACCCATGACCTGTCGTGCGTAAACCCCCACCTGACCGGACCGGAACATAAATATGAGCCAATATCATCCCATAAAAACCTTGGCGCCGTAAATAACATGAATATGTCCGAGTAAATGGGAACTCTAATTTTACTGGTGCTCCATGATCTAGATATAGAATCACATCCACTCGCCATGAAGATATGATCATACTTTGATCAACAACCATAATATTCCTAGATACCACCAAAGATACTCTCGTCTTCTTTAGAAAGAATAATATTTTAGGAGAAAATATTTCTCTTGCATTTCTAATATCCACAATATAAACAAATGTTGTGTATATATGTAGGACCCCACATGCTAGAAACTTTATACTCCACTTGTTCTAAAAAAAAGTTCCAATTTTGATCAAGTGTAAAAATAAGAAAATGTTAAATTGTAGTTGACTTCCAATTTTGTCCTGATGAGTAAAAGTAAGATTTGATATATAAATTATTAGAGAAAAAGTATAATGCGATACATGGAGCATGAAAAAGTAAGAATAAAAATGGTTTTTTAATAGAAAATGGAAGTGTGTGTTGAAAGTAAAAAATTGAAAGAGCAAGTATTTTTGAGAACAGAGTAAAACAATTACAAAAAGTAAGAAATACGAAAGAAAATTATTATTCTTTCCTTCAACATCATCAAGTAAATTACACTCTTCAATTAAGGTAAAAAAATGGAGTAATTCATATTTAAATAGTAGAGTGGAAAAAAGTGAGTATTATATTACTTGTGATATGATTATTCCACATGTTAGCAGCTCTTAGGCTACCCATAAGCCACTTTAACTGTTATTTTCCTTGAGTGAAAAACACATCATTCTTTATTAATGTCTTTTCAATGAATCCACACCACCAATCATAATCAACGGCCTTCCCTCATTCATATTTACCAGAATCTTCACACAACTTGGACCCCTTTATTTATTTAAATTTCCCATGCATGCAACCACCAACCCTATAACTACCCCCACACACTCACCATTCATACACAAACCTAAAAAAACCTCCCAAAAAAACCACACTTAAACATACACCATATAATAACCACACATATAGATATCCAACAAAAAATGGGGAAGAAATCGACGTGTTCTTTCCTTGGACTCTTGAGATTCAAGACGAAGAAGAAGGCGCGGAGCGAAGAAGAGGACTATTACACGAGGGAGGACGACGACGGGTTAGTGAAGAAGGCATATTACAAGGTGTGGCCGAGCGATGAAGATCGAGTCGGTTGGGTGGCCGACCCCGAGATTGATGCCAAAGCGACTGCTTTCCTCAACTGCAAACGCCAGCTGTTTCGTTGCGTCCCACCTGACCACACGGACGCTGACGTCGTCAGCGAATAACCTTTTGTATATGGGTCGATCAGGTAATGATCGCTCCGATGTACTATGGGTGCAAATGAATATATATATATATATATATATTTATATATATATATATATATATAAATAAAATATGTAGAAATGTTCATTCCATGCATCTCTCTTCTAGATCGTCTCATAAGTTGGAATTGCTAGCATGCAGCAACATGCATATATATGTAGATATATAAAAACGCTTTGATTGGACGATTTGGGTTTTAATGTTTTCATGTATCGTAAATCCTACTGAAAATAAATAAAATCAGTTGAAGATTTGAAGGGTTTGGTGGCATTGCATATTTGTATTTGCAGACGTCAGTGATCATTTGGGGTTTAAAGATTTCATGTACTCCCTATCTCTGTCAAATTGTTTGTCCCAGTTTAACTTTAATATTAATGTTGATGATAAATTGTAAGAAAATATATCTAATTAGAGTGTAAATTTAGCATATATAGGTTTATTTTAAGATATAATTTTGATATATCAAATTTTTATAACTTTCATTTAGTCAAAACTATATTTAATTTGTTATCAAAGTTAACATAAAAATCAAAATAGAACAAATATTTTGGGACTAATTGATCAGGTCTACTTAGGTCTACTTAGGTCATGTTTTCTCTAACTTATATTTTAACTTATTACTTATATTTATTGGAATCAGATCAAATCAGATTATATCAGAAATAATTATAAATAAAACTAAGAGTAGTTCCGAACTTATTTTTGTATGAGACCAGTTTTTCGCCCGGTAAAGCCAAACCATGATAAATTGGCCCAATCCAAGTCCTCCAAAATCCTCAAACCTTATCCTTTCCGGACGCTCAAAAAATCAATCTCCAGCAAATCCGCCATTTCAATGGCGTCCACAGCACCATCTCTCTCCTTCCTCACACCTCACATCTCCGCGATTCCCACATCAAACCCCATTCCCACTCGTTTTGCGTTTCCCATTTCGCCCCTCAAGCCCTCGAAAATCACCCTCCCTGCTGCGCTGCACCACGCAGCCAAGCCGCTCTCCTATGAAATCGAAGCCGCATCGGATCGCCTGAATCCGGTGAAGACGGATGTAGAAGAAGAAGAAGAAGTTGAAGCGGAGGACGACGGATTCTACGAGATCGAACACGGCGGGATCTGTGCGGTTCCGAAGAAGAGACGGTCCCGATCTAAGTCACGAATCCGGAGAAATATCTGGAAAGGGAAAGCTCGGATTGCCGCCGCGAAGGCTTACTCGCTGGCCAAATCAATTGCTACTGGGAATTCGAAGAGTTTTCTGGTCATCAGCAAATCGTCATCTTCTTCATCATCATCAGAGTCTTAGTTCTGTATGTATCTCTCTATCTCTATCTCTCATTTCCTCTTAATGTGATTGTTGTAGTCCTAGAATTGAATTGAATTCCGAAATTCTCTCTTGATGCTGTTTTGCTTGCAATTGCCTATTACGGAGTATCTTTTATTTTCATCCAAGTATGTTGAAAACAAATCAAAGGCTAAAAAGACTAATATATGTGAGTTACCCTTAGTTTTGGAACAAAATCTCATAGTTCTCTTTGGTATTAGTGCATTAAGTCATGAAATACCTGATATTGAAGACATAAAGCCCCCAAATGGAACCCCAAAGGCTAAAAAAAGGTTCATATATAAGAAATTCCTAATGGACTATCTTTAGAAATTCCTTGTAAATCGCACCCCCTTGCTTCTCGAGCGAGCAACAAGTCAATCTCTGACCAAAGAGATTCTACCCAATCCAGTATTATTTGAATAGTACAAGCCAAATGCAGTCCGACTCAAGATATAAATTGGATAAATTATTCAAGATGGAGCCAGAGATATATGCATAGAAGAATATATTTAGAGTGATGTAAAGATATCCAGCGGGGTTCGCGGAATATTATCACATGATAGCGCCAGCCTCAAGAGGCCCGTTCTAGCTTCAAGGGCCCGCGCCAGCCTCAAAAGGTCCGTTTTAGCTTTAAGTGTCCCTCTAAGGGATGACACTAGCCTCAAGAGGTCCATTCTAACTTCCAGAGTCCTTCCAAGGAATGGCACCTGCCTCAAGAGGCTTGTTCCAGCTTCCGGAGTCGCTCCAAGGTACGATGCTGGCCTCAAGAGATTTGTTTCTGCTTCCTAGGTCCCTTAAATGCACCGTGCCGACCTCAAGAGATTGGTTTCTGCTTCCTGGGTCCCTCAAATGGACTGTGCCGACCTTAAGTGGTCCGTTCCAGCTTTCAAGGGACTTTCCAAGGGACATCGTTGGCCAAGTGGTGCATTCCAGCTTCCAAGGTCCCTTCAATGGATGACGCCAGCCTCTAGAGGTCCGTTCTTGCTTCTAGGGTCCCTTCAAGGGACTGCGCCATCCTCGGGAGGTCTGTTCTAGCTTCAAGTGTCCATCCAACGGATGACATTAGCCTCAATAGGTCCGTTTCAGCTTCATAGGTCCCTCAAAGGGACAGTGCCGACCTGAAGTGGTCCGTCCCAGCTTCCGCGGTCTTTCAAAAGGGACTCCGTCTAGTGAACCAGTCAAGATGTCCATCCTCGAGTGGAATAATGAATCAAGCAAGCATCCGCCGCCCACTATCCAGAGTTCTTCCGGCCTCTTGGGAGGAAGGGAGTCCAGTGAGCTGTCCGCCGTCCACTGTCCAGAGATCCACCGTCCCCTAGGGAGCAAGGGAGTCCAGTGAGCCATCCAGTGAGCCATCCAGCGTCCACTGTCCAGAGATCCTCTATCCTTTAGGGAGCAAGGGAGTCCAGTGAGCTGTTCACCGTCCGCTGTTCAAAAATCCTCCGTTCTCTAAAGAGCAAGGAAGTCCATTGAGCCGTCCGACGTCCACTGTCTAGAGATCCTCCGTCCTTTAGGAAGCAAGGGAGTCTAGTGAGCTGTTCGCCGTCCACTTTTCGAAAATCCTCCGTCCTTTAAGGAGCAAGGGAGTCCAATGAGCTATCCACTGTCCAGAGTTTCTTCGTCCTTTAGGGAGCAAAGGAGTCCAGTGAGATGTCCACCGTCCAGAGATCCTCCATCCTCTAAGGAGCCAAGGAGTCAAGTGAGCCGTCCGACGTCCACTGTCCAAAGACCCTCTGTCTACCATAGAGCCACGCCTTTCGTCGAGTTCCATCGTGGTCGAGCAAGCATGTCCGACCCTTGTCCTGCGAGTCCCATCCATAAGAAATACAATAGATAAGTTGTACAAGCTGAGAAAAGTAATAGTGTAAAAGAGTGAAGATCTGTAAGTCGGTCATCGTTAGATGATCAGATTATTGGAGATATTCATACTCCCATATCAAGATAGAGAAAAGAGTTACAAAGAGAGAACCGGGGAAGGTCTATCCTTCGATAAGATCAGAGCGCCCAACCACCGTGAGATAGATATCGAGCTACTGTTTAGAGGCTCCCAAAGAATATTGAAAAGCGAGCCCCGAGAAAGTCTTCTTCCCCGAGGCACCAAGTCCTCTTCCTGAGGCACTAAAAAGAAAGGTTCCTCTTCTAAGAGGCACCAAGTCCCGAGAAAGTCTTCTTCCAAAGAGGCACAAAGTCCAAGAAAGTCCTCTTCCAAGAGGCCCAACTCTCCGAGAAAAGTCCTCATCCAAGAGACACAAATCCTTGAAAAAAGTCCTCTTTCAAGAGGCACCAAATCCCAAAAAAGTCTGTTTCCAAGAGGTCCAAAAAAGAAAGAAAAGTCCTCTTCCAGGAGACATAAATCTCTGAGAAAAGACCTCTTTCGAGAGGCACCAAGTTAAATCCTTACCCACGAGGTAACGAGACCCTCCAAAAAAGAAAGTCTTTTTCTCGAGACACCGAAGAAAGTTCTATCCCATGAGGCAACCCATCGAGTCATATAGTTTTTGAATCTGTCTCGTTCCCCGAGATAGACTCAAAACTAGGGGGCATGTGATGGATTATGGATTGTACCTAATCCACTATTATTTGAATAGTATAAGTAAGCCCAATTCAATCCGGTCCAAGATATAAATCAGATAAATTATTCAAGACAGAGCCAAAAATATATAGACAGAAGAATATATTTGAAGTGATGTAAAGTTATCGAGCGAGCCCGCGGTACATTATCACATGGAAGTCACATGGGCTTCACATGGAGGAGGTCCTCTTTTGTCTCCATCAATCACTCCCTTCTCTCCTTTAAATGTAAAGCAACAGGAAGAAATAGGAGAGACTAGTTCCTACTTTCCCATACTAGGTAATATTTCTTCTTCTTTAAGCTTGGAGCTCCATTAATGGCTTCAAGCTCCTACAATGATGTATATGTACATTCTCTCGATAATAATAAAAGTTCCTCCCTTTGACATGGCACCGCCAAAAAAATGCTCATGATTTTCTCCCGATTTTGGTTTCCACTGGAACGGACCACTTGTGGTCTGCGCGGTCCATTTGAGGGACATAGGAAGCAGAAACAAATCTCTGGAGGCAAGCCTCGTACCTTACAGCGACCCTGGAAGCTAGAACGGACCTCTTGAGGCCGGCGCTGTTCCTTGGAAGGACTCTGGAGGCTAGCGCCGTCCCTTGGAGGGGACACTTGAAGCTAGAACCTCTTGAGGCTGGCGCGGTCCTTGAAGGGACCCTAGAAGTTGGAACGGACCAATTGAGGCTGACGCCATCCCTGGCTCGCTAGAGTTTGAGGAGGCTCGGAGTTGAATAAGGGTCTCCCTCGCACCTGCCATCCATGGCTCGCCGAAGCGGGAGGAAGTGCGCTTGTTAAAGCAGAGGCTTGCTAGATCTTGCCTGAGGCTCGCCGGACCACAGGAGGCTCGCAGCTCCTGTCTGTGGTTTGTCGGAGGAAGAGGGAGCTAACTAGAGGCTCGCCGCTGCCGCCCGGGGCTTGCCGGAAGAGGAAGGCTCGCTGAATTTAGACCACGGTTCGCCGAAGAGGACAATTCTGATACCTCCCCGTAGCTACCTGAGGTCTGCTGCTGCTCGCCTCGCTCCAGTTGTTTGCCGTCCATCGGGACTGGTTGATTTATTGGAGATGTTAGGTATGAAAAGAGAACACTCCCAGCCCGAACTGAAAACACCACCACTCCTCTTTTTTTCTTTCCCTTGACTTTTCCACTCTTATTTTTATTTTTTTTACTTTTGTACTTCTCCTCTCTCTTTTTTTATACTTTCACTAAATATTGTACGAACCAAGAAATCATACTCCTTAGCTTTTTTTAAGGGTCCTACAGGTAGTGCCAGTGATGGAAACCGTTTTTTCGGGCGTCGACCCGACGAACTCAGTACCGGGTTGGCACCGCATCGAACAACGAAATCTGGAAAATAAACGTGGAAACTCAAATCAGGAAAAACCACGGGCCTTTTTGGGCAGTGCCATGCCGAAGGAAGGAACTTTTATTAATCTTTGAGGGATTTACATATAAATCATTGTAGGAGCTTGGAGCCATTAATAGAGTTCAAAACTTAAAGAAGAAGTATTATCTAGTTATCTAGTATCGGAAAGTAGGAATTGACCTCCCCTCCTTCTCCCCGTAGTCTCATATTTAAAGGGGAGAAGGAGTGATTGATGCAGACAAAAAGGGACCTTCTCCATGTGAAGCCCATGTGGCTTCCAGATGTAAATGTTCCGCGGGCTCCGTTGAATATTTTTACATCCTTTCAAATATATTTTTCTCTCTATACATCTCTGGCTACGTCTTGAATAATTTATCTGATTTATATCTTGGGTAAGGCTTAATAGGATTTACTTGTACTATTCAAATAATACTAAATTAAGTAAAATTCCTAAAATTCCTAATGATGTTATTAGGTATGTTATATGGATCCACCACCGAATTCTCATCATCCCTACTCGTCCCAAGATGGATACAAAGTGTTAAGTTTAGCGGACTTCTTTAATATTTATGCACCAATTGTCTCATGTTTTAATTTTAATGCACCAATGAAAATATTTTTTGAAAAACTATATCACCATTTCAGGTCACAGAAATAGAAGACATGATTAAAATTTTACAATTTTTGGTTATCACATTCCATTTATAGTGGGCAGCTAAAGATCAATTTATTCCTCAAAATAATATATTTTCTCAACAAACCTCGCGTCAAAGCAGTTCATTCGCTCATATTTTGATAAGATGTATATACGGACACTACACACACATATGATTGCAATCAGCAAAAAATAATGATTCTTTAAATTACCTAAGCTTTGTAATTCAATTGAAGTAAAAGTTAAATGTAAAAGCTCGCAATTAACAATATTCAAATTAAAGAGAATAAATTATATCATCATGAAATGAAAACCACAATATACAAATTACAGAGAATAAATTATATCAGCATGAAATGAACATCAATTGATGTGGTAGTCTTGTCGCTTGAGCTCGGAGTGATTTTCTAGAGTTGTGATATTGTAGTCGTAAGGCCTACATAAAAAAAGTATGGAAGAATTTGTCAATTTTCTAATTGGGTGTAAATTATGAAATTGCATGCTAATTTTGGTAAAAACATTGCATAAGAATCTGAGGAAAATGCAATTTCCAACAATTTTTTTTTGAAGTTGAGTATGAATTTAGGAATAAAAAACAATTCATTTTCAAATGAATCTCTTCACGATTTGCCTGACGTGTTTTCACGTGCACAAGAACAACCAAATATAAATCCTAACAAATGGTGAAAATTGAACCAATTAAAGCTTGCTAATTGAAAACCTTTCAATGATTCATCATGAAGGAAACCCCCACGTGAATTTTGGAAAGACATATGAACCAGGATCGCAAAAATTAAGGAACAATTGCGTTTCGAAACCAGATGCCAATTCGGTAGTTTATTTCGGGGAGCATCGGCTTAGAAGTTGCAATAAATATTGACATGTTTTATTTCATAAATTCCATATCATATTTTGCTTGTCAAAAAGTGTCACATAAGCTTTGTCGCATGTCTTAGAGTTTGAATTATTCTTTATATACGGAGTATATATAATAAAAGATTAAAAATTGGATTAGAATTCCTAAATGGCTACTAGCATTGGGGTTGGTCTAATGACAAAATGGAGCCACACTTCACAAATCTGCACACGATAATGGGCCAATCCCCTTTAGACTTGGCCCAAACCCATTTTATTCAAGAGAAGTGCCAAAATTTCCTTTTTAAAAATATTTTTGCAATTGAAACCAAAAACCAGGGAAAATGGTACGCTCACAAAAACATGTTGTTTTGAGCAACAAAAATGTTCCAAAAGACTACTAAAATGTTCGTAAAAATGATGTAATTTCACTGTCTTATTTTACATTGTCTATTTACTATTTACAGAATCAAACTTGATTCAGTATATTTATTTAATTTTATTACTTATTTGATAAAATAATAGTCATTTCCAGTCTTGGTTTGTAAAATTTATTATCTACTTTGTAGATTTTTAGTTCCACTCTAATTTTCAAATGATCTAATTTGAAAATATATTCAGTCAAGCATCGTACGCAACAACATGCAACTTAAAATAGAGCGGAAGTAATACTATTCTGGCCCAACAATAGTTCAGAATTATTTACAGTATTTATGGTTCTCTATTTTAAATAAATAGTAGGTACGAGTTTAAGCACCTATAATTAAAACCCTCTAATTTATCTTTCTTTCTAACTTATTTACTTCAATAATGTGTGATGGTCGTAAACGACCGAGTAGGCCGACCTAGCAGTCGGGTGTGACTACTAAAGGGTGTCAAGTATGAGGGATGAAAGCTAGAGCAAATGGGCTCGCACATCGGGTGCTGACACCTGAATGTGGTTTGGTTCAATCAACTCGGTAATAGCTGGGCCCCACTCGTGTGGTACCAAGTTGGCTCAGGGCCAGGTAAAGCTATGTACGTACCCTCGGACCGTCCATCAATTTGTATATTATTCAGTCTCACAATAATATTCTACTTTACTATTAATTTAACATGGTTATTCTTTATTTCCTTTCTTTAAATATTCTCATTGATTATTAAATAAAATAAAGTAGTATCGTACTTTAAATTAGCAGCCACAAAAAAACTCAAGAAGAAGTTTAAGTAATTAACTTTTGATTGAATAACTGCTTGAGATGATATCATCAACGTATTATTAATCTAGAGGTTATGGGTATAAATATTGATGTTACTAACTTTTAAAAAATTAATATTATTAGCAAACAAATTTTGCTTGGGAGCTTGCATTTTGTCAAGAAGTTCCCATTACTCGTTTTGCATGGTATCAAACAACACGGGAAGGGAAACTACACTGTTAAGGGTGATGATTGATTCTTGACCAAAACTTTGAAGGAATATTCCCTTTTGCTTTCCTATATACTTCCTTTTTTTACACAAAAAAAAAATATTTTTTAAATTTGTTTCAAAATAGTTTTCTTATTTTAAACTTTTCGTTAAAGAAAATGAATTTGTAGTCCAAAATTCTTATCTTTTAACCAAATTCTAACTACATAATTTTCACCATTTAACATCTTTATATGGAGTACGCACTGGGTTATATTTTTCTTAATATTCGTGAAGTTAAAGTGAGTAAATTAATTTGGGAGAAAAAGACTATTCTCAAAAATATTATCTAGGGCCTAACTTGATATCCTTGTTAATATATTGAAAGTTATGTTTTTGAAATTTGTCTATAAGTAAAAGAAAAAAAATTTGAACCACTCTTTACTTAAGAAACAAAGAACAAAAAAGTTTTGGAGTGATCCAAATAAAATATTCTCATTGTCCCTAAATAAAAATCTGAGTTATTTTTATCAAGATCCTGATAATTTTTATTTACTTATGTTCTTTCATTGTTTATTTGTTACAGTACAATAACATAAAATAGTCATGTATGCATAATATTTTATTAAGTTTTTAAATATGTAAATTTTATTATATGAACTTTGTAATAAAATATATTTAAAAAAAGTAAATTTTACGTCCAAAATTTCTTCAGAAATTTTATTTTAGGACGAAATTAAAAAGTAATTAAAAGAGAATACATATAATTAATGAAGGGACTAATGGGAGCATATGCTCCCTATATTACTTAAAATTGCCTAAGACACTTTACAGCACTTACAACAACGTATGTAACTTCATTTTAATTCCCTCCACACCGTCAATCAAAATCAACGGCCATTTCTCAATCATTTCCCATTATTCTCCCCTCTTGGGGCACCTTTCCCTTCCACTATAAGTAGACCCACACAAACCCACCCTCAAAAACACACAATTTATATCACCCATTCATTTCTCAACCAAAACAAAACAAAACATAGTATGGGGAAGAGAAGAGGGTTTTGTTGCTTTGGGTTTTGGAAGAGGAAGAAGGGAAGTGATGATGGTCATGAGAGGGAGGAGGGCGATGACAACGGGCACGATGTCGCGGTCGCGAATCAGTACAAAGTCCGACCAACCGACGAACGCGACGGGTACGATTATTATTGCATGGCTGACGACCCTGAAATCGACATCAAAGCCACCGCTTTCCTCAACATCAAGAAACAGCAGCTTCGAAACAACGGCTCCTCCAAAACCGACGACGTCTCCAAATAACGCGCTTATTTTCTCACAAATTAAACAAATATTCATCTTGGCCCCTTTCTGTGCATCCGTGAGTTAATTTGGTCGATGTATATTGTATTGAGTCAAATTAGTCTATGTAGCTAAAAATACAAATAAAAGTTATTCCTTATGATAAAATTTATCTTAACACTATTCTTTATATGCCGAGTTAGCATGTTAGATGACATCACCACCTAGGTAGCCAATGTGTCAGTTAACGTGCCAATTTAGCATTTCAAGAATATGGTTAAGATAAATTTTGTTAGAGGTACTAACTTGATTTACATTTTTTAGCTAGATGAACTTATTTGATTCAATACAATATACATAAACTAAAATAATTTAGGAGTGCATTAGAAGAAACTAAAAATAAGTATTAACTGAATTATGGAAGTATATATATGTCTATATAGCTAGCTAGCGAGTGCAATAACGACACAAATGTTCTCATTTTATTTTTCTATCTCAACCATATAAATATTTAAAATAACAATATGTATCACTTGTATTTTACCGTACATGCTTGTTCATCTCTAATGTTGCTACATAGTTACACGCACAATGGTATTATTGTTCTTATTAATGTATTGATTTTTATATCCCCTAATAAACATTACTTCTATTATACAAACCTTATGCATGTAATGCAGTTTTTAAGGGCATTGGAAATACCCGTGAAGCCCTGGGCTTAAAAACCTTCTGTCTCTGCCATGTAAGCTTTAACTTACCTCACAGTTTCAGTAGAAATGAGTTTGAAGCCCCGGGGCTTCAAACCTTCATTTTTAATATTTTAAATATACATCTTCTAAAATTAAATTAATTAATTATTTAAAAGAATCGTAAGGAGAATAGTTCATTAAAAAATTATATTCATTAAAAAAATATTACATCCATAAAAAATTACATTCATTAAATAAAAAAAATTACATTCATTTAAAAAAAAATACATCCATAAAAAAACAAAAATACGATAAATTACTGATTATTTGAGCGACTGAAGATATGTTCGATCAAATTCGCCGTTAGTGCATTGTGAACCTCTCGGCTTCAAATTTCATGGTGGTTTCTACGTTTCTTTTCTTCGTCGATTTCTTCGCACATAGGCACCTCCTTGTCCGGGTTGTAATGACAAATCACAAACTCGTTGTCCTCTACGATCATATTATGAATAATAATATATGCGTACATGATATTCCTCATTTTTGTTTGAGAAAAATATTTGGACGGACAATCTAAAATGTGTCACTTAGCCTTCAAGACCCCAAAGGCTTGTTCAATACTTTTTCTCGCTGTTTCACGAGCTTTTTTGTAGGTCTAGCGTTTAAGACTCATTGGTTCGGAGAGGGATTTGACAGTCGTAGAATAATTTGGATATATTCCATTTGCCAAATAATATCCACGCTTGTAAAACGTCCCTCTAAGCTCAAAAGACGAGTTGGGTGCGGTCTCATTAATCCAATCGTCAAAAATAGACAATTGATCGAGAACATTGATGTCGTTGTTCGAGCATGCGAAACTGAAAAAAGTGTGCAAACACAAAACCACAAGTCATTTGAAGTAACAACTTCAAGCATGATAGTAGGCTTGGGATGACCCACCCCCCCTCGGGAGAACTGACCATGCCACGCAGTGGGATAGTTTTTTCATTCCCAATGCGTGCAATCAATGCTCCCAAGCATGCCGACAAAGCCGTGTTTAGCGGCATGCCTTGCGTGTAACTGCTGAATGTCGCTCGCTGTAGGCTTACATAAATATTTTTTATGATAAATTCGAATAATAGTTTTAGAAAATTTATAAACACAGAACTTGATGCTCGGAGCCGACATCTTCAAGTATTCGTCGAGCAAATCAGATGTCATCCCGTAAGAAGCCATCTAACGAAGCGCGGTAGTGCACTTCTGGACACTGTTAAACCCACTTAGCCCTCTCGCATCAAAACGTTCGGTGAACCAAGGCACCTCGCGTTCAATATCAGCAAGTATGCGTAAAAATAGAGGACAACTCATCCGGAAACGATTACTAAAATTCTCTGGTGTATAAGCACACAGAGTATTGAAGTAGTCGTTGAGAAGTGGAGCGTGGGCAGCCGCTCGATCCTGATTTAAATGTTATCGTCGGGTTCGGCGTCGGGAGGATTCTGCTTCTTGTTCTTCGCCTTGCTGCCACCATTGATTACAACTCGTGGCGTAACAACAAAAAATGAGAGCTCTTTTTTCATCATCAGATGAAGATGATTCCATTTTTAAAATATTTCTAGAAATAAATATAATAAATAGAAAAATATTTGAAAGAATATTTGTTAGCATTATAGAGAGAAGATAGAGAGAGATGTGTGAGAGATATGTTTGTTTTGATTGAATTTATAGGTTTGTTTTGAATTAAATTTTTTTGGTGGGTAATGGCTCTTTTAGCCGTTGGGGAGGGTTGGGAAGTGGGCTACGTTGCGTCAAATTTTTGACGCAGGGAACGCCGCCATGGGGGCGGTGTTTAACGCCCGTTAGGCATCAACGGGGGGCATCAGCCCCATTTCCACTGCTCTAATAGATGGTCTCCACCAAAAGAGATATGCATGCATTCACTTTTAAGTAATTTAAGATAAGTGAAAAATGAAAATAATGCAATTAAAATTTGGTTAGGGGATTTAAAGAATCATTTTTCGTTATTCAAAAAAAATGCAACTTCTCTCCTGGCTTACGTGGTAGGAAGCCCACTTTCTAAAATTCATGGAGAATTTCACCCAAGTTCGAGTCTCAACAAAGAAAGAAGCGTTGACTCTTTCTACGTCATTAAGTTGAAAAATATATAAACAAATACTACATTGTAATAGAGTTATTAGCATTTAAGAAGAACACAATTCTTAGGTAAGTTGGGTGATTTTGGTCTTTTTTTCATTCTTTTAAAATTATAGCAATAATATGCATTCCTCTTTTATTTTAGGAAAAATTATCTCCAATAATTCTCTCTTTTCGCGCTCTTTCAAAAATAATATCACTTTTTACTGTCATCGGAGATAATCTCACATTATTTCTGCATGTGTGCGAGTTTTGGGTCGCCGTTTCGGAAAAAAAATATTGTACCATTTTCACAACTTTTGAATTACTATTTTGGGGAAAAATTTGTACCGAATTATAAAAAATCACATATTAGGTAGTTCCATTTTAGAAAAAATAATATAGGCAATAGAAGATTATGAATAAATATTTTGGAGTGTTCATGAAAAAATTGTAATACAACAGAAAATGTAGTGAGTTATAAAAATAAAAATTCCATTTCAGAGAAAAATTGTTGTGTTATTTTCACAATTATTGTAATGCTGTTTCACAATAAATATTTATATAGAATTATCAAAAAATATTCACAACTTTTGTAGTGCCATTTTTAAAGAAATAATACCCATTTAGTATAAACCAAAATTCGATGTGTGTTATGAAGTAAATAAGTTAGCTCGATGTGTAAAATAATTTTTTTTAATTATTACCAGATTATCGATTATTGAAAAAGATAATTTGTTTCACTCTAAAAAACACTTAAATTTAGTATTCTTTTTCCAAATTTTTTAAAAATACATTTAAATTTAAAGTTAGAAATTAAAAAGGTGAAAAAAGAGAACTACATAAAATAATCCCACCTTTCATTTATTTGTTAAAAACGGGCATTTTTCAAAAAATATGTTAAGTGACCGTTAGTTTTTTTTAACGGCAACTCAAAACTCGTACACATGCGGAAAGGTGAGATTATTTCCGCTGATAGTGAAAAGTGTAATTATTTTTAAAAGAGCACAAAAAGGTGAGATTACTTGAGATAATTTTTGCTTATTTTTATTCTTCCATCTACCATGCATTTAATACATTGTGTACTTTTTTTTGTAGACAAATGGCGAAACAAACTCAACAAAGCATCAATTATGAATTTATATTTTTGTTCGAATAGTTTATTTTGGTTAAGTATTTAGTATTTAGACGGTATTTTTTTATGTATTCAGACATTATTTACTATTATGGACTTAGATATTCACTTTTACATTGTTTTCATAACCATTTGAATTTTTTAGTAACTGATTCAGATATTTGGTCGGATTCGGATATTCGGTTAGTTTCGGATATGTAATTGAATTGGATCCAGATATTCGGTCAATTTCGGATACGTAATCGGATCTTGATATATCCGAAACTGGAAATTATCTGTTGGTTTTAGTTTCGGATATAGAAATGTAAATATCCGTTGGATACGAATACAAATTGAGACATCCCAAAATTAAATCGGATTCAGATTCAGAAATTGCATATCCGTGGAGGATATTATACGTTTATTTCCTTACAAATTGGTGTCAAAGAGCGGAGTCTGCACCTGCAAATACTTACCGACGCCATATGCTTAATATGGTTGTATCCCAGCATATTTGCTAGAAATCGAATTCAAATGTTATTTCTTTAAAACTTTTTATCTTGTCAACTGCGCAACGCCCAATGCAATTGATTTTTATTAACTGAATCGGATATTTGGTCGCATTCGGATATTCGGTGAATTTCGGATACGTAACCGGATCTGGATATATCAGAAACCGAAAATTCTCTGTTCGTTTCGGTTTTGGATATAGAAATCTAGATATCCGTCGGATACGGATAAAGATTTAGATATCCCAAAACTAAATTGGTTTCAGTTTAGAAATTACATATCCGTGGCGGATGTTATCCGTTTACTACCTTACAAATTGGTGCTAAAGAGCGAAGTCAACACTTGATACTTACAGAGACCATATAACTAGTTCAAGTATATTTGCTAGAAATCGAACTCAAGTATTCTTAACTTGTCAACTACGGAACACCCATCGACATGGAGTTGTGTTTGAGGAGTGTGAGGGAGGCTGTGAAAGATTGAGGGCTTTGGGTGAGGTGGGGGTGAAAGATACTTTCCATTTGAGGCACACCGTACGTACAAGCGTACTTGTGCACTTTATACTCCGTATTTTGCGAACAGCTGTGGTGGCTTTGTCTCTATTTGAATGAATGAATGAATGAAGGGCAGCCATTTGCTTTATTTCTTTATCTTTTGATCTGTTCTTTGTTCTCTTATGAACTGGATGTTATGTCTCCCAATCATATCGGTCACATTTCAAATCGAAACAAAATTCCCTCTACTCTATCATCTGCCTAGCTTAACTTGCTCACGAACATATACTCTCTCCTCCCCTAAGTAAACTTAAACCAAATTACATTATTTTTTATTAATTTTTTTCATGACATGAGAGAGAGAAAAAAGATTATAATCAAAATTGGAACGGAGGTAGGGAGTAATAAAATAGTTGTGTTATTTTTTATTTTAGTATTTTTCTTATATCAAAAATATGTAATTTTAAATTAATTTCAACCAAACAACACAAATATTAAATTAAAGCACTTTATAATTTGCACCCAGCTGTAGCTAGGTTCCCTTCTGAAGGGTAGCCATGCCATTTGAACTTAATTCTTTAGGTTGTCGGTGGGTGTTTTGCAGTTGACGTGACAAAGAGTGCCAATGGGGTAAGACCAGCAACTACGCTTGGAGGAAACATGCATCCTAAGCATATGGTCTCTGCAAGTATCAGATGCAAGCTTAACTTCACTATTTGCTATCAATCTACGATCAAAGTTCAATTTATTAATACTCAGTGAACGTGTCTGACCGGGTCATGCCCTAAAGGATGGGCTCATCTTTTTTTTAAAAAAAGAAAATTCTTTAGGTTACTTTGTGAAGTGTACCTTCATTCACACATGAATAAATCGGACTTGATTCAGTACGTGGTGGACAAATCATGAACAATCAATTAGTACGGAGTGTATGTACGCTAGCTGTCAAACGAAAAAAAGGAATACATGTGCGAGTGTCATTTAGTCATGTTTAGTTAATTTTTGATGTATGTGGTTTGGATTATGCTATGTGTACCCAAAGTTTGTACCCCAATTTGTACCCCGCAGTTTTGCACCAACACTTTGTGTTGGTGTAAAACTAATTTTTGTTAAACGTACCAACATTTGTGTCCGTGTGAATATTTATTAACGCACCAACACTTGTGTCGGTGTAAACCATCGAAATGTTTGTGCAAACCTGTGGTGCACAAATGGGGTATATTTTTTGGTGTAAGTGTAGCATCGTCCATGTGGTTTTGAATTTAATGAGAGAAAAAAAAGTGAACCATGCTAGGATTTCACTAAGAAATGTATTCTAAATAATACCTTAAAGGGATGCATTATTACTTTCATGATTCACACTGGCATAAAATGCTAATGTAATAAAAAAATTACACTCACATTTTGTGTCATTTAAAACCATTACAGTAGTATGAAATGTTAGTACATGTCTTTGGAGTATGATGGGTATATCCTTATACCCGATCCGGATAACCGAAATGGACAGGTCACAACATGACCGGTCACTTTCTTCAATCACCAAATGAGGTTAACTCTTCGATTGGGACGAGTCAAAAGTTGACCGGTCACTTTCCTTAAAAAAGTGACCGGTCACATTTTGGACGATAGCCAAAATGTCACCTAAAGTTACGAAGAATATTCAGGAAGACCAAAGAGGCGGGTTGAGCTCGAGAAATGACCGGTTAACCTTTGAGAAAAGGTGACCGGTCATATCATCTTACTTGACAAACATTGGTCCAGTCTCTCAGGCATGGTGAACCACGTCAAAGATCGAGGGACCACCCCGTCGTTCGTCCATCACGAGGCAAACAACGAAAGGGATATTTGTCATCTTGCAGGGTTGATTGGATTGAGAATATCCATGTTATAGTCATTGGTTGAACAATGCTTCTTGGTTGTATTAGTAGCAAGTCTATGATTGAACAGTGATTAGATTATGTACAATGGCCTTCCTCCGGGTTTCCTATTTTGTCCATGGGTGAACAGGGAAAGGTCACAAATCCTCCTCTATAAATATGATGATATTGGATAGAGGAGGGGATCCATTCTTTATCTCACTAAAAAAGTACACTCTTGAGACGGAGTAAGAAATATAATTCGGACTGAGGAGATTTACCCAGTCTAGGTCGTACTTTGTATTCTTATAGTGTGTTTTATATTACGAGTTGAGTGTGTCCAGGTGACATCCGGTCAACCCACCCAGCTATATTTACACCATCAGAGTACAAAGTGAGATACTACCTCCGTCCCATTGTCTTTGTCCATATTTGACTTTTAGAACTGTTCATCTAAGCACTTTGACTCATCAAATTCTCTTAATGTGTAAGCCTAAAAATATTCATGTGTGATCTTGTTTGATTCGTCTTAACATATAGATTATTAATATATAATTTGTATAATTTTTTAATATACAAATTACAAGATAAAATGGATTAAAGAAGTGCATTGGATGGTGTGCCAAAACGTAAGTGGACAAACACAGTGGGACGGAGGGAGTATAATTTTTAGGGTGCAAATAGCTTAATTCAAAAAAGTTACACCCCAACCTTATGGTCTTATATACTCCCTCCGTCCCGGAAAACATGGGAGTTTTGCTTTTAAAGAGGGATTTAAGGGAAGTGTATTTTGGTATTGAATTTCCAAAAATGTCCTTTGATGTGATGGATAAAAGTATGATTTGATGGATAGATTATTAGTAAAAAGGTATGATGTGATAGGTAGGGTATGAAAAAGTAAAGGGTAAAAGTGACTTTTTAATAAAAATGAGAATTGTTTTTTAGGACGGATGAAAAAAGAAAGGGGAAAGGTTTTCAGGGACGGAAGGAGTATTAAAATTTTGGTCGGTTGAGAACAACGGAGAGAGTATCTAATAAAATTAAATACTTACATATAAAGTTGAGATTCACTTTCTAATCTAAAAGCTTGAGCTGATAGTAGATATTCACCCTTTTATATATGCTAATAATATTTAATTATTTTTTAAGATGTGGAAACCTTCAACACCTCCCATGGAAATTAGTCTGACCTAGTTAGCACTTGAACAAACGAGTTTCGTATCTCAATCTCTTATTACTAATCTACACAACAGGCGTTCACATCTCAATCTCTTATAGTCAATTCAACCTACATCACGGGTGGGTAGCTCATATCGCTAAAGCCACGTCCAAACAAGCAGGAAAAATCGAACTCAGACCGAACCTGCTCTGATACTATAAGTAGAGCTTCACCCTTTAATATATGTTTTTGGTATTTCATTATTTTTTTGATGTGGGATACTCCAACATCTTATGGTTATTTTAGACTATGTGGTATGGTAGCTCAAAAAATGGGGGCGATGAGTGGTGATTGGATATAAAAATGTACTCCATATGATGCAAATAATAAAAATATGTGTAATGTGGTAGATGTGAAGAGGGGTGATGAAGTACGAAAATGTACTGTTAATTCTTTATTGGTTTGAAATTAAAAAAATAAAAAGTAGGGGGGGGGTCTTAGGGGCCACCCCTGGGACACGCTATTGAAGTTGGTGCAGCAAAAATGGGAGATGAAATTCTATTGAAATCGTCCGAAAAATTGTCAAAGGACAATATCTAAATTGGAATTATTGGGTTGCGTTTTCTTTTCTAATTATATTCGGCCGGTTGTATGTAGATACACGTACAACCAGATGTATAATACGGAGTACTTTGTATCTGTACTAAAAGATTACGTCGTTCAAAGCGTCATCAAAAGTTCTACAAAGTAAGACATGATAAGAATATTTTATTTTACCAAATAATCAATAAAATTAAACTAAGCTTCCTCCGTCTAGAGAGTTTAATTTTATTGTCCAAAGAGTCTTACCTTGCCCGGGGTGTCAATTCATTAATGTTTGGATCATATGTGCTTAACGTACTTTTGTTAGGATCTTATATTCAGACCATACTATGCCTTGAGACCTTCACATAAAACGTGTCCAAAATCGACCAAAGCTACCACAATAATTCCAAATCATATGAGCTTAACGTACTTTTGTTAAGATATGATACGAGGTGTATCGGATACGGAAGACTTTGAGCGTCTTCAAGCTCTAGAAACTTGGTGGGAGAGAGAGAGAGTGTTTAGGGTTTTTAGGGTTGTATATTGATGATGAATTATGGAGGAGTACATCCCTTTTTATAGGTGAAAGTAAAAACCCTAATCCTAATGAAACTAGGTTATCTATCCTGACGGTTCAAAAAAAGCAACGAGGTAAAGAACCATAAAGACATCCTCGAAGGAGCTTATAATTGTGCTCACCTAGGAAAATCTAAATTACATAATTAAAAGGATAAAAGAGATAATGATATTAAAGAGAACAGTCCCGTTGCCACCCCGGTGGCCTTCGCGCTCGTTGACTGCGTCTTGCCGGCTCCAAAGCCGGTTCATCTATTGACACGTTATTTCGCGCTTCCGGCGTGGTTGTTGGCGCCATAACACTATGCCTTTGAGACCTCCACATAAAATGTGTCCAAAATCAACCAAAGCTCCCACAATAGTTCTAAATATGTGTAAAAAGTCATCCCTTAGTCGGGGTACCAATTCACCAAAGTTTAGACATATGTGCTTAACGCACTTTTGTTAAGATATTATATTGAGACCATACTATTCCTTGCGATCTCCACATCAAACGTGTGCAAAATCGATGAAATTACCCACAATACTTACAAATATGTCTAAAAAATCATACTTTGTCCGGGATATCAATTCACCCAAGCAAGAAGTGATAAGAAAGTAGTACTTCCTATTTGTAATAAATTAACCCAAAAAACATCAAAAACCAAAGCAAACCCACGGTTGTAATTTCACAATTTCAGACGGTTGGTTGGTAAAAGATTCACCCAAGGCAAGAAGAGTATCAATTCAATTTGCCCAAAACATTGATTGCTTTGTAATTTCCTCTCATCCAATCCGCACCGTCAACCAAAATATAAAAGCCTTCAACGTAATCTTTACTTAGCTTAATCAATCATATAATAATATCATCCGATCCCCTTAGCCCACATTCCATCTCCTCCCCAACTTGCATCTCCATTTGGAAATTAATACCGCGTGAAATCCCCCCNCCACACACCACTTAATTAGTTCTAACCAAGCAACATAAAATCTAATTTCTTCTCCAATAATATTTTTATATATATCCCCACAAATAAAGTATACACAAAAAAACACTATTCAATGGGGAGGAAATCTGGGTTTTCTTTCTTGGGGCTGTTCAGGTTGAAGATGAGATCAAAGAGGGAACAAGAAGAAGAAGAGTGTTACAACGAGAGGAGCGTAGGCCGGGGGTCGGTGACGAAGGCGTACTATAGAGTGTGGCCGAGCGACGAAGACCGCATCAATTGGGTGGCCGATCCCCACATCGACGCCAAGGCCACCGCCTTCCTCGAGAGCAAGCGCCGCCTCTTCCGGGGCCGCGTTGCCGCCGCCGACAACGACGATGCTTAATTAATTAATTACACTATCAATTATTTATTTCATTTTATGCGTGTTTAAATCACACTATATCATGCGTACATATATATATTCTTTCTCATGTATTGATCTCTCAGCTCCATTGATTTAAGATTGATTGTTAGCTAGTTATATTAGTTCAACTACTCATCAGTACAATTTGTTTCTTTCATTTGCATATTAGTGGCACGTTATGTGTAGTACGTACTCCATGAATTATTATGAATTATGAATATATGTGTGTACATAAAATTGTTTTTTGGATTTTGTTGCTTTATTCATTGCGACAAAAAAAAATTGTGATGACCTTGTCGAAATCCTTGATCATATGGTTCCTCCTTTAATTTGGGAAAGTACAAAATCACACGGCAATTTTGGGATTTTGATATTTTGTAGAAAAATATTATTGGGAACATTGTTTTACTAACTCCGTCACAAAAAGATTTACACGTTTTGACTAAAGTTGAAATTAAGGGAGGGATAATTTTGTGTTGACTTTCCAAATATACTCTTGATGTGATGGGTAAAAGTAGGATGTGATGTGTAGATTATTAGAAAAAATGTATGATATGATAGGTAGGATTTGAAAAAGTAAGAGGTAAAAGTGGTTTTTTAATAGAAATGGATAGGAGATTGTGAGACGTAATTTTGTTGAAAGGTGTAAATCTTTTTGGGACGGGGGTATATATTAAAAGGTTCTCTTTGAGTACAACTGTACAAGTGGTCTCCCTCAGTCCCCTGATTATATAGGAAGAATAGAAACCAAACTAGGAAAGTTTGGGATGAAGGACATCATTACAACTTACAAGGGACAAGATAGGCGTTACCAGAATTCGCAGAGTTACTCCTCCTGAGGAGACGAGTTAGTTCGGGGTTTCCCCCCTCCCCATTTGATCAAAAAAACTAGGAAAGTTTTGCTCTTACCATTATACCATTATGCTATTATTATCCTAACCAAGAGTTAGAACCCAACATCTCCAACCTTTAAAATGTAAAGTTCGTTGTAGCAATATGAGCTAAATCAAACGTTTGGTATTTATAAGCAAAACATAATATATATTATGTTTTAATACATGTCGTGTTCTAATTTTTTTTAACAAAATTATATACATCTAATTGTAATGCTTTATATTTTTCTTTAATTAAACTTCGTATTATTTATAATTATAGGCATACTTATGCTATTGAAAATATTTTTTTATATTTAAAAGTAGTTCAAAAAACTTAGAAGTTTTTTAAATTAAGCATAAATATGAATATTTTGTACCAAGCTATGGGTCGTTGACCTGAGTCAATTCGGTTCGACCGGTTAACCCTTCACCCAGTTGCTAGTTGGGTTTGACGTCCCATCTGGTTTCCAAAACATTGCCGAATATCCAAAATTGTTAGTAAAAAATCAAATGATTATTATAAAAGGAATGTGAAAGTGAACATCGAAATCTATAAAACTGAACAGCGTTGAATACGTAAAAAAATTATTGTCTAAATAGTACTTGTAAATACTTAACCAAAACAAATGATTCAAACAAAAATATAAATTCATAATCGACCAAGTACTTTATGGAAGTAATGGTAAGACACTAAGGTTAGAGACTTAGAGTGTAAGGTATATTTTTTGGATGTATGGGCCAAGTATATATGTATAATAGGCTGGGTAGAGGATTATATATTAATTAAAATAATTTTAATTCCGTATTCAAATAAACAGATATTCATATAAACTACTACGTATTATTTAAACGGATGTATATCCGAATCAGATATACAATTACCAAATCTGTATCCGTTTAGTAATCAGATGTCCTTAAACGGATATGGATAATATCCGTTTAAAACGAATGCGAATTATTCCCGTTTCAACGCATTCGAATGTAGAAGGTAATCAGATTTTTTGATTATCCATTGACAGCCCTATGGATATATATGTTTTGGATATAGTGAGAATGAAATCTTATGAAAGAAATAAGAATGCACGTGGTGCATTAGAGAGTTTAGTCTAAGGGTCATAAAAATAGAAAAATAAGCAAAGTATTGGAAAAACGAGGTGGCATTTTAGTAAATAAGTGGAAATTTTAGCACCACTGCAAAGTTGCACTACCATAATGTAAATATGCATCGTGATGGACAAAAAATACACTAGTAATAATTCAAAGATAAAACTACACATATTATGTCTCTACTTTGGGTAACTTTTTTATATAAAAAAAGAATGAACTCAAGGACCCCTCAGACCCAACATGGCATAAGAATATTGAGAAGAAGAAAACTGATAGGACCTAGGGGTGGGTAATCGGGTCCAGGAACCGCGAGTCGGAACCGGACCGCCAGGTTCGGTCCGAGTTAGGTCCGGGTCGCTTTTTCAAAAATTTAAAACGGTCTGGGTCGGTCCGGTCTTTATAGATTTTAGGGTCGATCTGGTTCCCCATTTTGAAATTTTTTGGAACCCAGACCGGACCATTTTTTTAAATACCAATATTCTTTTTAATTCCGTATTATTTTTAGTAAATATAAGGATACACGGTATACCCACCTATTTGTCATTGTTTTATTTTCATGCCCCTCGTTGTCATTATTTATTTTCATTTATTCCTCTTTTTTGTGTTGAATGACTTAAAGCTTTTGATAGCTTTTTTTTAATATAATACGGAGTAATTCTTATCTCTTGGTACCAAACATGTCAAAGTAATGAGTGAGGAACTGGACAGTGGACTTCATATTATCTCTTGGTACCAAACATGTCAAAGTACTTCATATTAATATTTGTGCCCGAGCTCTAGGAACTGGACAGTGGACGTGTGGCGCAATTATTCACACCATCCAATTACCCTTTGAACTTTGAACTTTGAAGGCATTATTCTATAATTTCTATTTGTTTTGGAGAATGTCAGTATCATGATAGATTCGGACCCGTTGACCCGTGGAATCGGCCAGTTTCAAACAAGCCGGGATAGGTCCGGTTCCAATTTTAAAATTTTGAAAACTCGTTCCGGCCCGGACCATCGTAATAAAAACTAGGGGTGGGTTGGAAAAACCGAAAACCGAAAATCGAACCGAAATCGATCGAAACGAGCTAGTAAAAAAACCGAACCGAAAAAACCGAAACCGAATGTAAAAAAAACAAAATCAAACCGTTAGTGTTTGGTTCCGTTTTGGTTTTCACTCTGAAAAACCGAACCGAACCGAATAAACCGAACATTCTAAGATACTTCGCTTTATTTATATGAATATATGTGATATGTAGAAAAATCATAGAAATATAAATGCAAATAAATTACTAGTCGATTTAAATTATTTTCTTATCTATTAATTTAACATTCTAGCCAAATTATTATAAACTTTAAAAAACATAAGAATATATATGAACACCAATAGCTAATCCTAATAAGAATTATATTAAGATTAAAAATTGATAGGCGTAATTTACATATTTACATAAAAAATACTTTATTTGATGTTATGATGAAATTGAAAGTATTATACAAAAAATATAAATTCTTCGTAATTGATTTTACATATGATGTTTTTGGAAGTATTTAGAATCTTCTAAATGTTTGTTGGCACTCCACACATCTTTTTTATGTAAAATTAAACTAAAAGGAGCAATAACCTTCCGTTTGGTTTTTTCTTTTTGTGTAAAAATCAAACAAAAAAACCAAAGCTAACACTACATATTTTTATTGTTTTATCGAGTTAGTGTTTTTATAATTTGTTAATGCTTATAAATTTCTACTTTTATAAACCGAAAAAACCGAAAAACCCCGAAATAAAAACCGTAAAAAACCGAACCGAATAACCAACGGTTTACATTTTTTTATGCAAAACCAGACCGAACCGAACCGCCAATTTAACTTCCGTTTTTTCTTTGGTTTTGGGTAAAAACCGAACCGCCAAAATCGAACCCACCCCTGATAAAAACAAGGCGAATCAGATTTATACAAATCTTGGCTCGGACCGGCCCGTGCCCACCCCTAAACTATCGGCAATATAATCATCTTCCTAGATATTTGTATAAGATGTACGGGGTAAACAACTACAATAGCGGATTACGAACGAATAAATTAAGAGATAAATTAAACACGCTTTTCGAATCTATGTTCTGTTCCGAAATGACACTAGATGCTCTCCTTGTTCAAATCTATTCTATCCCTCTCAAAGTAATTTCCACACTACAATGGAGTAAATTTTTTTATCTTTTTCAAAATTATTGTATTTATAAATTAGTATAAAAATAAAAGTAAAAATAGTTCTTCCGTCTAAATTTTCTAGTTACTATGATGATTTCATGATACTTTTTGTTTACTTTTGTATTTTCGTTAATCATTTCATAAAATAAAATTATTTTATCCCATCTTATTTCGTAAAATGTAACTTTTGATGTAATTTTGAAATACTCCATCCGTTTCAAAATAATATACACAACTTTTATTCGGGGCTCCCGATAACTTTTATTTGTTTTCACATTCTTATTGATTATTTGATAAAATAAAATATTACTACATCCGTCCCAGAGTATTTGTCCACTTTCATTTTTACACACCATCCAATACACTTTTTTTAATCCATTTTATCTTGTAATTTGTATATTAAAAAATTATAGAAATTATATATTAATAATCTATCTGTTAAGACAAATCAAACAAGATTACACATGACTATATTTAGGCTTACACATTGAGAGAATTTGATGAGTCAAAGTGCTTAGATGAACAGTTCCAAAAGTCAAAACTGGACGAATACTCTGGGACGGAGGGAGTATTATCACCACTTAGGGGCTGTTTGTTTCAGCCTCTTAATGGTTCAGATGTCTGAATGGTTCAGCACTTAATGGTTCAGACTGCTTGTTTCAACTTCTTAATGGTTCAGAAGTCTGAATGGTTAAGAGATTTGCCTCTGAATGGTTAAGTATTATACAGAGTCTGAATGGTTAATACCTCTTATCTGAATTGATCAGACGTTTGCCTCTGAATAGTTAAGCAATATACTAGCTCTTAATGGTTCAGACCTCTTACTGGTTCA